TAACAATTCCCTGATGTCCTTCATGGGCTAACCGTAGCACTCTCTCTTGTAGGGAAGTGGGAATAACTATTCTAGTCCCCCACAGTACGATGTCTGAGTCATGTGATATTGATAGTTCACTGCTGACTTGTTTGAACTGCTTTAGTATGTCTGTATTACGTGACTTGTCCAATTTGTTCCATGTGTTGTGTCTGATGCACTCACTGACCTCTTGAAGGATTGTGTCTTTAAGAGTCTCAGCTTTGATCTCAGCGAGTGTCATAGCTTTTGGTATCGCATTACTCACGATGAAGTTAACATACTCCTCTGCCACTTTCGTTGCATGTGCGTTGTCAGCTGTGTCAAAACGGATGGGGTGACGGGACATGTAGTCAGCAGGGTTGTCAGCTCCTTTTCTGTACTCCATCTTGAAGTTGTAGGGCTGAAGTCTTAGTCCCCATCTCTCAATTCTGGCAGGAGGTTTTGATCTTGGGTTGTTCCATATAATCTCCAGAGCTTTGTGGTCAGTTACTAGAGTTACAGGATGACCATAAATGTACAGATGGAAGTGTTCACAACTCCACACAATGGCCAGAGCTTCTTTCTCTGTCTGTGAATATCTCCTCTCCACATCACTGAGAGATCGACTAGCATACGCTATTATATGCTTTTCTCCTTTTTCATCCTTTTGACTGAGAATAGCACCCAGTCCGACAGGGCTAGCATCCACAACTAACTCAGTCTCTTTGCTTGGGTCAAAGTATGACATAACTGTGTCACTTGTTAGACCGTTCTTTAATGCTTGAAATGCAGCTTGCTGTTCTGGACCCCATTCCCAGGGCAGGTCCTTTCTGGTTATCTTGCGAAGGGGCTCAGAGATAGAGGCAAAGTCTTTTATAAACCTGGAGCAATAGTTGGCCATGCCCAGCAGGCTCTTGACTTCACTGACAGTCTGTGGTTCTGCAGCGTGTTGAACTGCAGCGACCTTCTTGGGGTCAGCTGAAACACCTTGTGCTGAGAAAACAAAACCGAAGAATTGAAGCCTGGATTTGTTGAACTCACATTTTTCACGGTTCAGTGTGAGACCGCTTTCTTTGAGTCTTTGGAACAGCGCTCGTAGGTTGTCGTCATGTTCCTTCTGAGAAGCGCCGTAGACTATGATGTCATCACTGAGGTTCTTGACGCCAGAGAGACCTTGTAGTGTTTGACATATGGTGTTTTGAAACACCTCAGCAGCGGAAGATATGCCAAAACTAAGCCTTTTGTAGCGCCTCAATCCAAGGTGAGTCGTGAATGTAGTTATGTACCTACTGTCTGGATGCAGCTCTAGTTGGTGATATCCAGCTCTCAGGTCCAGTTTAGAGAACACCGTAGCTCCATTTAACTCATGTATCACGTCGTCCATGGTGGGAGTGATGTGACGTTCTCTTTCTATGGCCGTATTAGCTTGCCGCATGTCAACACAGATCCTTACTTTGTTTGGAGCTTTAGGCTTAGGAGCTGCAACAATGGGCGAGACCCATGGCGTCGGGCCAGTGACCTCTTCAATGATACCATCTGCCTCCAGCTTCCGAAGCTCATCCTCAACCTTCTGGCGGATATGGAATGGCACTCGTCGATGAGGTTGACATGTGGGTTTGATGTCAGGATTTATATGTAGTTTCACCTGAAAATCTTGTAACTTTCCAATACCATGGAACAGTTCTGGATTGTTTGCCACCAGCTCATCAGCAGCTGTGCTATGCTGTGGTGTGGATGATACTGCAGTGACTATTTTAATCAGACCAAGTGTTTTCGATGTTTTATAGCTAAGTACATTAAAACAGTCACCTTTAATGACATAGAATGTGCACCTTGTTTTTTTCTGTCCCTTTTCCACGCTGCACTTGAATGCACCACTGACAGGCAAAGGAACATTGGAGCGGAAGGGGTAAATCTTGGTCGCACTGTGATTGAGCTGTGGGCGTGGCATTAGTGTCTCAAAACTCACTTCACTAATACAATTAGCTGAGGCTCCTGAATCGATTAGCACTTGCACATCACGGTCATTCAGCTTGATTTGCGTCTGTGGCAAGTCCGATGTATTGTCATCACTAACTGTGAACACATATTTATCATCACTGCTTGAGGAGTCATGTTGTTTCATTATCTGGTGCAGCTTTTGTTATGTGGTGGACTTTTCTGGAGTGTTGTTTAACAGTGTATCGGGGCTGTCTTTTAATACTGTCTTTGGATGTTGAGCGACATTGTTTAGCGAAATGGTTTAATTTTCCACAGGCTCTACATTCTTTGTTTTTAGCAGGACACTCACCATCATGAGGATATTTGCCTCCACAGTTCCTGCAGCGGTTGTTGTGAGTGAGACGCTGTTTTTCAGGCCACTTTCTATTGTTTGGATAGTGCTTATCCACGGGTTTCCTGTTAACTGCATTCACTGAAGGCGTAGCTGCTGCGTGTTTTTCCATGCCACTCGCTTGCATTTCCGACAGTTCAAGTGTCCTTGCGTGATCAAGGAGCTGATCCAAAGTCATATTTGGTTCCCTCAGTGCTTTTCTCCGCAGCCTGGATGACGTACAGCACTGTATTATTTGAGTTTTTATCTCCACCGTAGTATCTGCAAACTCACAATTCTTAGCCAGCATCTTCAGTCTAGTGTGATAATTGTCCAGACATTCTCCTGGTTCTTGCATGGCTTTTCTAAAAATATAGACTTGGTACTGTGCGTTCTTCTTGGGAGAGAAATAGCCAGTTAGCTTCTCCTGCACGTCTGCATATTTATCATCCTGTGCTGCTAACGTGTCATATATGTCGTGCACACGTTCTCCTGCGATATGCAACAGCAATGCTTTAATTCTCGCATCTCCAGTAATGTTCATAGCAGTCACATAATTCTCAAACCTTTGCACCCATTTGTTCCACCGTGGTCCAATAGATCCAGGATCTGTTTCTGTGTCGAAAGGTGGTAGAGTTGCGTGTGCTGCGGCAGCCATGCTTGCTAGTTTTTATCCAAGTTGTACAGTCACGTTGTTCTGCTTTAGCTTCGTGGTTGCTATCAACTTGGTCTCCGTCTGTCCAGTTTACTTTTCTTTCACTGAAAAATGCCTCTTTGCGTCTTTTCCTTTACTCCTCGTCGCCAATGTAATGTTTGTAAAACCCCGAGATGAAACAGGCGGACAACGACGTAGCAATGCATATGCTTTTTAATCCAGAGGCTGCCGGTTACATTCACAAACAGTGACTAACTAACCATGACTGCTCTATATATATGTGACGCCCAATAGATGGCGTTGTTGCTTCACTTAAAGCTGTCATCAACATTACAGGATTGTTTGACTAAAGTTCGAGGGTAAAATATTTAATATTCTCTGGAAAGTGTAGAGCATGGAGCAGTGATGAAAACATGCTGTAGTTGCAGTTCAAACCAGGCGAACTGCAGTTTCTTGAGTGTCCACTTCAGGCTGAAAAAGTCCTGGAAATAATTTATTTTATTTTATTTTATCAAGGATAATAGTTAGCGCCTGCTTTTAGCCTGATGCTAGGGTGACCAAAAGTTACTATGAGACAGAATTTCCAATATGGCAACCACTACTGATAGGCTTCAAAATTCCACTTCACAAAACCAATGAAACCAGTGATGTCACTGAGACTACGTCCATGTTTAAACATTTGTACATCCCAAGGTTATCCATGTTAAATAAGATTTTTTGCATCTAAATCTGCTTGGTACAACAAAAAGAGCAGCAGATGATACTGGCATTAGTTCTGTAGCTTCACTTAATAAACAACAATATCTTGAGGTGCTACAGAGAAATAAACTCTGGAAAAGTCCATAGTACACAACATCTAAAGAAAATCAACGTTTGTCCAAAATCCAATTAATCCAGTACATGTTGAGATATCTCACTGGAAAAGTTCAAGATGAACTGGTAAGGATAGGTTGAATTGGGAACATAGAAGACTTGCCAAATCATTTTATAGTTGAAATATTTTGGTACAGACCTAAGTTATGGGATAACCCTTCAAATGTCACCATCTCTCAATGCTGCTTAAAATGTCCATATTTCAATACTTATTAGTTTAATGATAAAATATTGTAAACCATACTATTTTACACCCGTTATTAAACTGAGAAATGTTTAAATCAACAAATACCAACCCCTCATAGGTAAGATCTCCCTTCAGAAAAGGCACAAACTGGTTTTCACAGGCACCATGTCAACATGTTGCGTATCTCATCTCCTGTTGTTTAACATGACCTTTGGCTGGAGGTGACCCGGCTGAAAGCCCCGTACAAACACGGAGTCATCACCAGAATTAATTAGGAGAACCGTCAGAGGGGAAAGGGCTCTGGAGAGGGAGTGCTGAAGAAAAGGCTGAATGATCTGCGGCCGCTCAGAAATCCAATGTGGAGTAATTCACTGTGGGTACAATTAGGCTTTGTGCTGAGATGAGGGATATTATTTCAGCAGGTGTGTGTCTGGGTTGATAAAATGCTCACTAACAATGATGGGATGTTTCAGGTACTGCTCAGTGTTCTTTGCTCCCTGTGAAGCTTCATCTTCATCCGTGTAAATTGTTAAGTGTAATGAAGGCAGGGTTTAGCACACAGTGTAGATTAAACCCATGACGAGTGTTTCTGTAACTCTTGCTCTAGCTTTTAAGTATTCCTCACAAAAACCATGCCTTGCTCTCATCCCTTTTATTTCTTCGTCCTTGCCTCAGTCTTTCCATCTAATCTGTGGATTTATTTCATCCTCTCTCACAAATCCATCTTCTAAATGCTGCTTTCTTCTTCCTTCTCTTTATTCGTGTTATTAGATTTAATGCTCAGACTCATCCTTGCTGAGTCCCAAGCAAGGTTTTTCTTTTCCTAAAGCTCTTTTTTTTAATGTGAACGACACATTTCTACTTCCCTCTCACTAATGTCAGGTTGTTCCTTTTTTATAGGTTTTCACACCCATAATGTCTGATGGCTCCTCTAACGGCTCTCTCTCTCTCTCTTTGTCCTGTGTTGTTGCCAGGCATGGCTGACTGAGATCCATGAGTACGCCCAACAGGATGTGGTCCTCATGCTGCTTGGAAACAAGGCAAGGCATTGTGGGAAATTCTTATGACTGTAGGTAAAGACACAGAGGGACATTCACTCGGGCTTTGCGTCAAACAATAACACTAATTTTGGTTCTTAAACTTGAAGCACAGCATACTAAAAAGGTCAGTTTTTGATGTTATGTCCAATTAGTTCTTGAGTTAACCTTTAACAAAAAAATGTTACACAATTTATTTTATCAAGGCAGAGCTTTTTTATAGCAACTATAAAGTAGATAAAACATGAATTTATGGTAAAAGTCTTGCAGTCTTTTTTTTTTTTTTTAAATCACCTTAGTAGAAAATAGCCTCTCTTCTCTGCAGTCCATCACGATCTATCGTTTTCCTCTGTGCTCATCCAATTTGTGTCCAAAAACTATTGAGAACCAATCACTGAGTCACATTGCTACACCGCCTGACAGCTTCTTTGATGACATCGACTGTGGGCACTGAAGTTTACTCAGTAAGTGACTCAGTGGAGAACCAAATGTGTATTTATATATGGCTATAATTAGTCCCAAAACTTCAATAATGACTCTTTTTTTTTTTTTAGTCATGTTTTCCAAACACTACAGTGCCCTTCCCTTTTTTAGCTTTGTTTTCTAAAAATAAAAGTCCTCATCTGTTTTATATTTAAAGATTCAGATCTTCAATAGCTGGAGTTTAAAGCTCCTGTGAGGAGTTTTTAGCTGCTTATGAAACAGACTGAAACTATTATTGATGTCTCTTTATGACCTGCTAAAGCACACAAGATCAATTATTTTTATATTGTTATTAATAATGCATAAAAGAGCTATGCCAGGGTAGATGTCGTATAAAGTGATTTACAGCATGCTGCTGGAACAACCTTTGTATTGTCAATACAAAGACTCCAGATGAGTGATACATTCGACTGTTTAAAGAAAGCAGGATTACATTTTATCTGAAAAAAATCTATTAACAAATGTACAGGACAAGATCAGCTAAAGGGTAAGAGGGACTGCTTTGTCCACAGGGGGGCACCAAAAGCAACCCAAGCTGGAAGTTCCTCACGGGAACTTTAAGTACATTACAAACAAACACTGTTAGGATTCTATTAAAAAACATTTTCATGCTCCTTAAGTGGGATAGAAAAATATATTGTTTTATTAGCATAAGTAGCCATCCACATTTCTTTTTTCAAAGATCTGTGTTGGGCTTTAAAGCCTTTATTTGATAGGACAGTGGATGGCGTAGGATATCAGAGAGAGAGTGGGTAATGACATGCAGGAGAGGAGCCACAGGTCGGACCTCAAACCCGGGCCGCCCACTAGGCCATCTGCTTCTCCCAATACACATTTCTAATACATACACACACAGCCTGAAGCACTGATTGCGTTTGAGAAAAAACAAAATAAAAACCTAAACCAGTTGAAAGCTAAGTCAGTGAATCATAGGTGACTGTTTTTTCCCCTAAATTCATGTTTATCTACAGCACACTCACATACACGTCTGATAATACGTCAACCTGTTAATGTGAAAATATCGCTGTTACACATTTTTTTGTATAACTGCCATTCACATCTCCCCTCTGAACAGAGACAGATGTCTCTGCCTTGGAGCTCGGTCTAGTTTCAGTCCCCAACACTCCATATCAGTCCCTAATTAGCACTGTGAGAGCCAATCTTGACTCATTAGCTGCTATCAGACCTGAACACCAGGAACACTTGAACGTAAGCTGTGGATAAATAGTGACGATCTGCCCAGTGGGTAGGTGGATGTTGTGGTTTTTTAGCACTGATGTTGGTGTTGCATGATGCTCTCATGTGTGACCCTGTTTTTCCTGTCGCACCAGGCTGATTCAACTCATGAGAGGGTGGTGAAGAGAGAAGATGGAGAGAGGCTTGCAAAGGTAAATTAGTAGAAACTGATGAAAAACTGAGCACAGTATTTTCTCCCCACATTAATTCAGCTGTCAGAATAACTACAATGATTTAATGTAACTTTGATTCTCTCGAAGTTAAGGCCCTGTTAGTGAAATATGGAGGTAGTGATTCTCCTTTGTGTCATTTTAAAAGGTATTTGTATGCATTATTGAATTTCTATGGAAGATGTGAAGATTACCGATCTACCAGAAAGGTGATATTGTTTAGGTATCAGTTCTTCTTTTCATTGGGGCTCTCTCTCAGATTTAGACCGTCTGTTATATGGGGGGGAAATGCACCACCTGCAACCCAAAAAGATAAATGGAACAGAGAAAAAAGCCTCAGACATTTTGTTGCTCTTGTAGATGAAACATTACATGATGAATATTTATAGCATAGCTTCCTGCCTTCTGTGTCATCTGTAAAATGTTTATCCGTCTGTGATAAACCTCGGCACACAGACGACTGAAGCCACTGAGCACTGAAACCAGAAGCAAACATTTATTTTGCTTTGCAGGGTGGCTCACAAAACAAAGAGCAAACAGCTAAGCGGTTATCTCCAGAAGTGGAAGCAATAAAGTGCCATTAAGTAACTTGAGGTCTAGCCCAGGGAAGAAACACATCAGTTACCTTCACTGTGGACTGAGACCAATCCCCCTGCAGAGGAAAAGCTGGGAGACAAATGTGTGCATTCACCATTGTGCTGTAAAGTCTATGATTTTTACATTTTGTGGCCAATCAGAGAGAGTATCATGTTGTAACGTGCTAAATCTTAATTTCTCTTCTTAGTCTTCTGTGGCAAGTTTCTCAAAGATAAACTTTGACCATGTCTGAGATCTGACAGCTAGTCAAACTTTAGAAAGATGCAAAAAGATGATTCCTGATTATCTTAATTGCTAAATGGCAACAAATTCTTGGTGGGTTAGAACTTTGTTTAAAAAAAAAAAAAAACATGGCTGCGACAAGCTTCTCTCCCTATTCATGGCTATTCCATCAGAAAATGCGCCTCTGGAGGAATTCAAGTTTCAACATTTTCCTGAGGGAAAATAAACATTAAATGCAAAATATGTAGTTAAAACACAAATCAAAGAATCAGCCCTGTTTTTTTTCATAACATTATTTTTCAGCTACAGTGGGCATAGGGTAAAGGTTGCTAAATTCTAGTGCTTAGAATTTGCCGGCATCTATTTTGGGGACTTTTAAAATCCAGAGGCCAATTTCACAGAGAAATCTTCAAAGCTAAAAGTTTCCCATTACTGGTTTTTGCTTTGATTCTGCAGGAGTTTGGAGTTCCTTTCATGGAGACCAGCGCCAGGTCAGGTCTCAATGTGGAGCTGGCTTTTACTGCCGTGGCAAAGTGGGTATCATTCTCTCTTAAAGTGCTGAGGGTTGGTTTAACTAAAGACCCTTTTCACGCATGCACTCCTGAAAACTCACGAGCAGTTTACAATCAGGGGCCGAAAAATATTTTTAAAATGTATTTTAGCAGCAGTGATTGGCATCAAACCATTACAAGCTGCATTTAGCAAATCAGTTAAACACATCAAGTATGAGATATTACTGCAGTCATATCTCATTAAATATCTTTTTCACAGTTCTGTGTCTGTCACTGATTTATTTTTTTCTCTGCACATAATTTGGCTCAACATAATACTCAACTTGCAACGTTTTTAACACAAAGATAATGAAATACTAAGCCAGGAACATTTTTTTATTTTCTCTTAAAATGCCTGAATGAATATTTAGGAAAAATCATAATTTTAATTACTGGATACAATATGTCTCCTGCTTGCAGATAGATTTAATCTGTTTTCTGTTTACTCAAAATCAATAATGATTCCCATTTCTATTGTTTATTAATGTGTGACTCTTCTTTGTTAATCCTGATCTCGTCCTCTGTCTCAGGGAGCTGAAGCACCGATCTACGAAGGATCCCAGCGAGAAGTTTAAGCTGCAGGAGTATGTGAACAAGGAGATGAAGGGTGCAGGCTGCTGCAGAACTTAAAGCCTTCCACAGTCACTCCCTGGATCTGTGTGTGTGTATTTATGTGTGTGTGAATCACTCATGTTCATATCTGAGATGAGGAGTCAGCTCCAGCGAGGTAAAAAACTTTTTTGTCCTTCTGTCTGTCTTCACAAACTCCAAACTGTAGTCCTGAGCTCATCTCTTTCTTTCCGTCCTCCTGCAGCTGTGAATGTAGCCTCGAGTTATGGTTTGCGACAGACAAAGTTAAGTGCTGCTCACCTCGCTCATTATCATAAATGGACATTATTTTTTCCATAACTGTAGCTGCATGATAATAACTCTTCTCCTTCATGCAGACACCAACCAAATAGATTTGCACAACTCGGTGTTATGTTATTGTAAAGGGATTTCATTACTTCAGATTTGTCTTTTTTTTTTTTTAGTTAATGTCATTTTGGATGAATGTTTCTATAATAGATGTATAGTGAAGTTCTGTCTATGCCTCAGTGTTCATGTCAGTGATTCTACAGGCTATTTGGAGCCAAATTAGCTCACCAGCATAAACTCGATCTAAGCATTGCCATGATTCAGTTGTGGATATTTGGGAAGAAGTTTCACTCATTTAACATTCAAGTAAATGGAAGTGGCTATTTTTTTTTAATGAGTTTTCTATTTCAGAAAAGCTCAAATGTATGATTATTTGAATAGATTTGAATTCATGCTAGATGGAAAAAGGAAGTATACAGTAGTTTAAAGGCAACTTTTAATGGGTCACATGAAATCTTTTGGTCATTTTTCCAAAGTAAGAGGATCAATGTTGAATCTTGGGAGTGCTCGAATGCAACTTCTCTATTTGATGTAAATACTTTTGTTTCTGCTTGTAAAGACGAGATGTTGGAGAATAACACTGTAATGGTTCATTAGCGCAGGTTGGGAGGAATAGATGTTTATATTATACTGAAAGTGTTTCCTCTAGTAACACTCTTCATTTGAAGTTAACAGTGAAACATTAGTCTGCTGCTTGCTTTTAGAACCAATCTTAAATATATAAATGGGGTATATAGTGCCATGTTTTCTTAAATGCATTGACTGGTATGTTTCTTAAAACCGTATGTTCTCCATTTTAGAAGCATTTGCCTCTTTTTGATACAACTGTTGCTTTGATAGAATTCATGGTAGTCACAGAAACAGAATCTCTGTACAGTATTCACAGTATTTTCCAAACTTAATGTTTAAAGTAATGTAATGATTTTGGCTTTACCTATTTTTCAATGTGCAACTTCTTTCTTGTAACTGAAAGTTAAACCCAATAAAACAGAAGTTAATGTGACTTTAGCCCTTTTAATATTGACGACCATGTTTAATTTTCAGGTCAACATTTTCCTCTCCACCGCGACTGAAGAGCAAACACAGTGGAGCTGCCCCATCATAATACTGTTCATCTTCATACTTTTCTTTACAGCACTTACATTCACCTTCAATGTGCACACCTCAAGTCTCTCTGGTTTAAAGTAAGTTTAAACTGTTTCCTCTGTCTCCCTCTGCTGGACAAATAATGGTACTACATCACAGTAAATTCTTAAACTAAACTCAATTTTTACCCAGTTTCACAATAAAATGCACCAAGCAGCTTACATTCAGGGGCCGGATATACACATAGCTTCTTTTAGCAGCGGTGATCAGTGTCAAAACATTACAAGCTGCATTTAGCAAATCAGGCAGTTAAAAAATAAATAACACGATGTGTTTTTGAATGTACTCCTCTGCACACAAACATGCACGACAACCTTTGACGACAGATCTGATTCCTACAAACTTGGCATACTTCTTTAAAATCTGCACATACAGGTGAGGAGGACTGACCTCTTTCAAGTATAAAGGTTATGTAACATGGGCTAATATTTGAGCACTGAAGTGAATTGGTTTCCCTTTAAAAGGGAGTGGCACATGATGTGAGGTTGAGTAGTGAAGGAGTCTGTGTAGGAATGATTATTGTCCAAAGTGTCATGTCACCTTTTAACTCCTTTGCTTTGTGGTTCCTCAGCAAAAGTCCTTCAAACACTAAGCCTGTTATGGTTTGTGCTTAAAATAGGCCTCCACTGCAGAGAGAGGGCAACAAAAGGAAGACTTAAATCAGACTCAGCTATTGAAATCAAACTGTTAAATGAGGACTTGGTGTTTAATTTACCTGCATACTCCTGCGGTAGCATTGGTCTGTCGATAACAGTCTGAAATGCAGAGATCCAGTCTTTCTGATCCTTCTCAGTTTCACATGCAAATAGAAACTTTCTGTCGGGGGTCACTATGGTTATCCCAAACTGCCAACGGTAGCCTTGAGTGTTTCCTGGGAGGCCGGGGAGCACAGTGTAGCTGTTTTCCTTACTGCCAATGAACACCTCGCCTCGTGCATAAGCATCCTGAAAGCAGAAGAACAAACATTTAGTGAAGGCCAAAATGAAAAACATCGCCTCTACATTGTACTGCTTCAAAAGAATCAAATAAACCAATAACAACTCTGATGTTATCTTTAAGGGGGAAAAAAATGACAACATTCAATTGTTTCAATGCACTGACCCTCCAAATAAGACAGATGCATAAAGAAAAAAGGCATAGCACCATCTGCTGGTCATAGTGTTGTGCTACATTGTATTACCAGTGGATCTTTGAAGTACATGAGCCTCCTGTCATCCATTGTGAACCACCTCTTCTTAAAGCCCTCTGTGTGCTGCAGGATGAAACAGGAGACAAACGAGGACTAAAAATACACTTATCATTTGGCTACCATGCCCTGCAAGATGCTGCCATAGACTATACACATTCTGTGACTTTTCAATCATGTATAAATCAAGTTTAATCAAAAAATAGAAAGGTCATTACCTTTGGACCAGTCTTCTCCATGAAACCCTCCTTTATGTAGCTCCTGGTAAGCTTTGGCAGCAGCTACACAAACAATGTAGATTTAGTAACTGATTAAAAAATATGTTGCAGGGTTTAATTCCCTAGCAGTTTGGAGGTAAGACCGTGTGTGAGAACTCACTTCAGAGTGAGAAGCTCCAGGAAAGGCCACCTGCAGATAGTGAAACCTGGCTGCTCTGATTGCATTGAACCAGTCCACCATTTCCTTCAAGACATAAAAGCAGGACTTTCAGAAACTTTTTTTGGGAGGAGGGGGGAAAAGAGACCATAGGAAAAAATACATATTCATGTTAAAAGTAGAGTCAGTGGCAACATTCAAACTGGGCCTCTCCTTCACACTCACTGCAGGAAGTGGTGTGTACATCTATTGCTTTTACCTACACTGCAACCTAATGCACACCTTACACTGCGAAGAACTGCTCTCACCTTTCCATCCTCGTGATAAATGAAGATATTCCTAGTGCTGTTGTCCTTTAAATAGGTGATCTGCATGCCGTGTGGGTTGCACAATTTTTCTGGCTGAAAAGAGGCGTTCAAAGTACTGATCTTCATTATTGCTTTGGGCTCTCTAGCCTGCAGAAGGGAAGACATTGTAAGAAGAACATGAATATTGGTAGAAAGCTGTTTACTTTCATGCTTCTTAAAATCCTGAAGAAGAAAACAGAATCCAAGGATGAATGAGTTAACAATACTCCATGTGACAGAAGGGTTTATCAAGCTGTATTTAGCCTCACTGATTTTGTAAATAGAATTTCACAATGTTCTTGATCTTCAGGTTTAAGAAACAAATCAGGAAGTTTGTAATAGTTGATATTTTTAAACAGTTTCAACACCAACTACATCAAATCAGTAAATCAAATCCAGATAAAGACATTTAAAAAGAGTGAATTGAAACTCACATCATGCTTGTTGAAGTACTTCAGAACACCTTCCCGTTCAGTGAGAATAAATTTCCGGCTGAGGAATTGCCCGTTGTCTCTGCCTCTCTTCCATAGAAACCCCTCTCTGTAACCTGCAAGGAGGAGAGCAACAGTGGGTCCAGATCCATTGACAGGGAGCACAGAGTAAAAGATCACAAATGATGCTCTACACAGGAACATCAAGCTTTGACAAAAATGTATTCTATCATATGGATAAACTTTAAGCCGCAGTAGTTGTTTGTTTGTTTTTGGCCAGTTGGGGGCAGCAGACCTGTTAGCAAGTTTCCCATTTACACAGCAACGTTTCCTCGAGCAGACTCATCCAGGATATGAGATTAAACATAATTTTTCAAATTCAGTGCAACAGTGATCATTAACAGTTAGGTGGATTTTAAACCATGTATTGTTCTCCTCAATGATTCTGAAAGCACATCTGTTATAAGGACCTCGCATATTGGTTTGTGCACACTTTCAGCTTTTGTGGTCACTTTTCTAAGCAGCTCAGCAGAGGTGCGCCTCTGCTTTTACTACACAAATAATTCAGCCTACAGCCTACAAGCTGAAAACTTCAGCAGATCACAAACCAGAGGCTACACTTCAACTGCCGTCCAGGAAACGCTCAATGGATGGTTACGTTGTGATCAAAGTTGCATGTTATTTTGAGAGATGATGCATGTGACATGAAAGAAGCCATGGGCATCATGAGAGTGCATGGCTGAGGCTGCTTTGCACGAACAGTGCAGCTCGTACTCAACAAGGAGCTACTGTAAATTACAGATAAATTGTAAATACTGTTTATTTATAAGATTTGTTTCCTTTTCTCAAACTGCTGGTACACATTAATCATCTTAATAAACTAAAGAATAAATAAATGACTAAGTTACAAAAGCCTGATGTTCCCTTGCATGATTCCCAATCTGATCCTCACAGTGAGGAATACAGGTTATTGTTTAGTATCAGATCTGTACTGGCTATCGGAATCAGGACTCAAAAAGTTGAATCTTTGCATTCCTACAGTAAAAGTCTGTATGAGCAAAATTTCTGTGATAAAGAGCAAACATTTAATGAGAATTTTAAAAGGAAATTTACACAAAATGACATGTACTTTGCCACTTTTTAGGAAACTGGATCTGAAATAAAGATGCAGCGTATTCGTCTGCAGCTCCACATCCCTCTCCTTTCGTCCATAATTTACTATGCCCCCCACCTCACCCCCTTGCTGAGGTTTCTTGCATCTTTGTGCAGAAGTAAAGTCGTCATGGGTTGGGCCACAGACGGCAGTAAACTTCTGGCTCCGCATGGCTTCATCAATTATTCATGAATCAGAAAGTTTTGTTCCACAGCTGAGAGCAGAGGGTAGATTTACACAAGAAAATGACACATCAGAGGAGGAGAAGGCAGCTCATTCAGAGTGACCAAGACTTGAAAACACCTCAGAACAAAGCTGTTTGGAGCCCAGTATTTGTCTTCAAGCTTCTCCACAAAACGCAGCTGGTTTCTACTTGCAAAAATCTAGCAGCAATGCAACATAGAATATTTTTACACAAAAGAGGCCATTCTTCCTCAGTGACACAGACGCACAGCCACATGCTCCTTAACCTCTGCACAGCACAACACAACACAAGAGGCCATTGAGAGAGAGGAACAGAGACAGAGAGCAAGAGTTCCCCAGTCATGAGAATCAGATAACAGCTCTTTATCTAGTGAAGGGAGATTTTTCCCTTTTTTTAAATAGTAATAAGCCGTGTTGTAGCAATGAGAGATTGCTCAATTTTGACCCTGTGAGAACTTTGCCTTGTTTTGGTTAAAGGGAACTGTGTTGATTTAAGACATGGCACTCTGTTTCCCCATCAGGGCGAACTTGTGGCTAGAGTAATGACATCATATTGCTACAACTTTGTACTTTGACCAACGAGGAGGAGGTACACAGTTTTTAGCCTTTAAATGTTCTGGAAAAGCTGCCAAAAAATGATGTCTTTATCAGGTTAAACAGCTTCCTGTTTCCGGTCTAGAGGTCCCAAAGGGAAAAGGTTGATAGAAAGCATATTGATTACAGTCATTTTTTATCAGCTGAACATATACAACATATAGATACTTCTGACTATGCAGACAACTTCCCTCTTTCCTCTAAGCTGCAGCAGAACAATGGGTTTTGTCAAAATGTATTAAAGACATTTTAATAGTGAGCAGATCGAATCAATGGATGTATCCTCTCTATATGTTAAAGTTACATTAGGATATTCTAGATAGCCATGTCAATAAGTGAACAATGAGTAACAAACATCACTAATCACAAAGTGCTCAGGGAATCATTGACCTGCTGGCATTTGCTGCTTCAAGAGATAAGATTAGTATTTATGTATAACTTGTGATTCTGCATAAAGACACATAAGGATTATCATGCAAGAACCTGAGTTTATGCTAATGACTAAGCTCACACAGCCATCAAGAAGAAAGCATGGGACATATTGAAATCAGAGTCAGGGAGACATGTGAGGAGCTGGTGGAAGACAACTAAGTACAGAATTTATATAAATAATATAATATAACAGATAGAATGGCCTCTAGACCTGCTCTTTCTGGAAAGTGTAACAACATAACATTTAGTATTTGCACTATATAAAGATTGATGATTTAATCTCTTAATGACCAGCACCTTATTGTCTCTGAAATTTAAGTCATCTTCCATCGGTACAACAAAAAAAGCAGACAAAAAAAATCTGTCTGGCAGGTTGATTAAGCTGTGCTATGTAAATCAGCAGAGTACTGGCATGAATTACACATTAATGAACCTTTTTAAAAGTGTAATGCCATTAGCAGTCGAGTTAACACATACGACACAGTGAGACGCACATGGTGAAACACAGGGAGTGAGAAGACTTTGTCCTACATGGATGTAGAGAAATTTAAAAAGGGCAAGAGTGCATCATGTGGGAGAAAAAGATTTGAAACATGTCCACAGAATCTTTCAATGCAAAGTTAAACACAAGCCCGTTGAATAGTGAAGCTGCTATCAGCCTCTTTTTTTATTTGTCGATTACAGATTTAGAACAGGAAAGTGGATTGCTTCTCAACCCTCTTAAACTTCATATTTATGTTTTATAAAGTTACAAAAGCTTGAGGTTGCCTTGCCTGATTCCATGTCCCATCCTCCCATTGAGGAATACAGGTTATTGATTTAACACGGGTATAAGATCAGTACTCGCTATAGGCCTACACAACAGCCCAGATTTCCAAATATATCAACCTTTTCCTTAAAGCTGGGCAGTAAAGTGGTGTGTTACGTCATGCCAACTCTCCCTCCCTTTATCTCTGTTTTAATCAGCTGTTTCCCCCTGCTGGATATTCAATGCTGAGGAGGTGGTTTTGTGCAGGATTCTGACAATAACTTGATTTTCTGAACAAGTGAGAAGTGTAATGTGTTTGTTAGAGGTATTTAAACTTACCCGCTGAGTACGGCTCCTGCCTCTCCACGTACATAAACTCCTTCCTCTCGTACTTGGCTCGGATCCATTGTTCCCTCAGGAGTCTGAACAACAGTTGGTGTTAGACACACAGCTCTGGTGTTTACTTCATGCTTCATTTGATTTGAACACCTCATTAACTCACGTGGACGTGGACCCATCGGGCTACATTTCATGCTGACTGAGAAGAACAGCTATCAAATATGACTCGTTTTGAAAATGATGTCTTGTGATATTAATGATTTGGCTTGTGCTTTTCTTTCGTCTGGCTGACATCAGTTCAACGTGTTTAAGAGCCAGATCAGTATTTAGGGATTAAATGGAATTGCTTTTGCAGGGTTCTTCCCAAAGTGCACACTTGTCTTTTTCTCTCTTCTTTATCCAATCGGGCTTTCCTTTGTGCTGCCTAAAACAACCACCCCTCATGAACGTGATATAGCCTCACTGCTCTGTGTGTTATGGTTACACATTGGTATTAAATGTATCCCTGAACAGTTAAGAGGAAAAACTTGCTAAACTGCTGCTTCCTGTTTGACTTCAGGAACTTGGTATTCTTATCACTGAAAAGCATCTGCATGTCTGCCTGGCTACCACAAACCACAAGCAGCCCTATATTAATAAATATCTCCGTCCACAGAATAATAAAAGCTGTCTTAACGGTGCCATCAGTAACATTTTAACATCTGTTAGAACAAAAACAATTAAGTTAATAAGCAAAGGTGTGGAACAAAACTGATAAATGGAAAAAGGTCCTCATCACTCTGACATTTAGAGGTGACGTATGGAATCAGACATACTGTACATGAGGATATATTCATACTTACAGGCAGTCTTTGTATGTGGGTCGGTAGAAGAAGGCAGGAACTATCTGTTCGTATTTGGCATTGGCAGCATCGTTACCAACAGAGTCCACAAACTGTAGAGGAGGAGAGAACGAAATTAAGTCCGTCAGTGATATTTGTGAGTATTAGTGTGTTTTGTTTAATGAGGGCAGGTCTCACGCACGCCTTTGACTCAGGCTGCCCATTAGAGAGACTGCTGCTGTCATAGCTGCTTTTTCCTCCGTTATGTTGTTTCTTTGTTTTACACAATACAAGTTTCTCCTGAATCCAAAAAGCATTTTTTTCCACCACTAAATTTGCACTAATCAAAAGGTAGATGATAGCTAGTTTAGGATAGCTATATATCAGCCTTCATCCAATGGGTAAACAAATGCATGGTGAGTGAGTATGCAAAGCTTGTTTACATAAATAATGTCTCATTAACACTAAGCAATTCAGACATCTGGGATGTGTTTAAATGCTCATATCACTGTAACTTAACATTTGCTAATAATTGGGCAGTGCTTGTAAACAATATCCAGATCACTGATCAGATGTGCACATATACACACTCGAATCAGGAAAGACTAAGACAGTTGCAGAAAGAGTTAATGGCAAAACAACACAAAGCTAATGTTCCAAACACTGACAGCAGAGAAAATGAGTTTTATAGTCTAAGAATCAGAATTCAGTACACACACACACACACACACACGCACGCGCGCACACGCAATCTGCCAGCTGCTGGCTCATGCATTTTAGCCAGTGCTGAATGGAGAAGGATGACTCGTCTTATTCTTCCTAATAGGGATTCAGCGGTTGTGTAGCAGACAACAGTGATGCATACAGCAGAGAGGGCGAGGCACAGGCTGCAGACATAACTCCAAGATCTTCTATTAAAATACACAAGGCTTTCTACTCTGTCCAGGATTGAATACTTACAATCCTTAAAAACACTTTTTGTAGTTTCCACAGAAAACATTAACACTCAGAATTACTCACCTCCACCTGAGAGGAGCTCCAGGGATCCAGCAGGATAGATTTCACCTTGCTGATCTGAGCAATGTTTCTATGGAGACCTGAGCAGCTGTGACACACAAACACACCCAGGGTGTAGGACACCCACTCTGGATCTGCAACACACCACAAAGAAACATGTGTTGATGCACACTGAAGTTAAGAATAACCAAACAACTTCCTTTTAACTGGTACTGATGGCTCAGCTGTACTTGAAATAGTTGACCATGAGCCAACCAGTGTTTTACACAAGAGGCAGACAACACCTTTACACAGGGAAAATCTTTTTTTTAAATAGCTTTTTCGACATGATTACTGTCGTGGATTAAGTTTCTAATCATCAAGTGGTTTGTGTGAGTTTAGAGTTGGCGTTTCCTTATCAGGTTTTAGTGCAGTGGAGTGGCATTGACACACTAACACTTCAAAATGTCTCCCTTATTTGACTTTTTTTTTTTTTTTTTTTTACAGCCACAGCCAAAATGTTTACAACTAACATTTGTACGGTCTTAAAAAATGTTTGTTGGGGTAATATGATTTATTTGATAGGAACAATAGTAAATATTGAATACAGAATGTATAGATGTTGTCAATTTTAAAACTATTGTCCCACGTTGGGCCATTAAACGTATAAAAAAATTATATACTTACACTTTTATAAAACTACAGATAGGGGCAAACACTAAAACATATATGGAATAGAATTTGTGGTTTATCTGTAGTGTTATTTTGACATTTTTATGAATATTTGAAATGGACCTTCACTGTCTATATTATACAGTTACCAGGGTGTGCAACACAGTGTGTCAATCACACATTACATTCACTCTTTTTCTTTATTCAATAATTGAGTCACTACTTCCTCCAACACATCCTACATAAAGCAAAACCTAAACTTGAGAAATGGTCTGTTTTGTGTTATGTCACCCAATCAGGTGTCAGCACTTGGTGACATGTTGCTGCTTTCTCAAAGAGGTCAGTGAAAGGTTACCAGATCAAACTTTTCTTTGAAGACAGATGAGTTTGCAACGTGGCGAGCATCGATTCAAAATTAATTCACAGCTTGTATAATCTATCTTTTAGAATCAAGATCATTTTTTACAGTATACAGTATGCTTATCATAATCCTTTCCTATTCAGGTTTGTGAACAGAACAGGAAAACGCTGCTGCAAATGTGTAAAAGGCCACAAATACACAATCACAGCTCCTCCTCTTTCAAATGCCACTTTCACAATCATCACTCTGATCAATGAGCTGAGTCAAACATTTTTTTATGAGCTTGATACCGCCATTAAACCATTATGCTTATAAGGACTCGGGGACACAGCTGCTAAAGAAGCGCAAGAATATAAATAGTCTGTTACTTCCTTGTGCTTTATCACAAAGCCGCACACATCTCAGCCTGTGCATCTGTACACAAGAGACAGCAGGCTGGTGTGAAGTCAGCCACTCCCATTTTCTCTGAAGTAATAGGTCTGTAGCTTGTTGAGGTCGAGGCGCTCTACCAATCTAACAGAGAAGTTCCTCTGAGAAGAGACAATGCACACAAAGTCTCACGGACAATTGGCAGCCGGAGGGTGGAAGAGAAATAGAGCAGGGTGCACAAAATGACAGTGCAGATAATATGTGAAAAGTATTTTGCCATTTCAGCCTTTTACAAGCAAACTTAAACAAACTTCTGTCTTCTCGTTTTTAACATTTTCTGATTCTGACTTCTTAAGAGAAAGGATTTTAATTTGTCTCATGGTCACAATATTCATTAAAACACAGACATACAAGATGTCACCTCGATCTCTTGGAAGGATTTTCCTTCCTAACAAAAATACTTGTATATCACAGCCTAGAAAATAAGAATAAATTAAAAAATACTCTAGGCCACATGGATAAACTGACTTGAAGAAAGAAGAGTAAATATAAAGGCTACATGGGTGCACTGCATTTTATACTAAAGTGTCATTACTTTGACACGTGTTAGTAATAAGAAACGCCTTGTTAGAAAGGAAACAAACAGGTTAAATTACTTCAACCAACTAAATATAAATATCCTTTTAACAGTCAGTGAGGTTAAAGCATATTTTAGGAACCACACCTGTGTCTTTTTCTCTGTCCTGGTTTGTAGGCTATACACACTGAAGATATGTTAAATGGAAACCTGCGTGTTGTAAACAGGGTGTGTTACCACCTAAGCATGCAAAAGACAAGGTGAAATCATATTTGACCCTTCAAACAAATTAGAATAGGCGACATGTGAAAAGGAGTAGATACTGCTTGCATGACAACTTTTAACAGTAACTAAAAGGTTTTACAGTGTATGTGTTACTTATGCCAAAAAGGTGTATTCAAACTGTTCAAAGCCTACTGAATAAATACAGCTCGTTCTGAAAGCTTTTAAGTGACATGACTTAGCATCTGAACTATATCTAGATCAGGTCGTAACCGCTGGCAGAGACTAAATAAACGACCTGGTATCCTACACTCTTAAGAATAAAAACAGTGAATAGTGGTATGTTCATTCATTTGACTGTTTTGCCTATAAACCAGAGGGATTGACATAAAGTGGGGGCGGTTCATAGAGGGTATAAAGAAACAGGTTAAAAGAGGGAAAAGGTCCGTAAAGCTTTCCAGCACCTGTCAGTGAGTCCTCTCTTGCCTACCTGCAGCTCCACAGTCGGCACAGTTTCCATTCCCGGGTTTCTCCAGAAGCTGTATCAAACGCTTTCCGTTCTGCTCTTGATCCGAAGCCATAGTCCAAAGCACACACGATGACTGCACGGTGGCTCAAACACTCACGCATCGAAACTGAGGTCTGTCGCCGCCCCGGGACGCGCAGGACTGAGCGCGTAAAAAGCGTCAACACAAGTGATGGGGCGGCTGGAAGTTTAGGCGGCTGAACGGTGCAGCATTGTCACTCTTTACGAGCTGCCAAACAGATACACAGCTGTAAGTATTCTCTGTGTCTCTCCAGAGTGAGACCCCCAGTGGTAAGAAACACACTCACGACACATAATAGTACACCCACAATAACCAGTTGACTGCTTTCTCCGCTTCTTCATTGCCCGGAAGTATCAAGACTAAATACCTGTCATTATCTCACTGCTTTTACTTTTCATACAGAGCTGTAGATACCTTGTTGCCCCTGCAGCGCTACCTTTTTTTTTTTTAAACTACCACAGAACTGACACTAGCCCACCATCAGTCACTAAAAACACAATTCTGCTATTTTCATTTTTTAACGAACTACAACAACAGCACAGGCAGAAAATCTCGCCCAGGTGTTTCCACTTGAGAATAATTAGGTTTCATCTCAGGTTGCTGGTGGGCGGGGCTTCCATTTTTTTGTGGGTCATCAGACGTCTTATTGGTGAAAAAAAATAACAACACTATTATGGGTTGATCCCATAGACTGTAAATATTAAGGGATAGGTTGATCCTTGGAAAACCAGAATTTGAAAAATGCATTGAAGCATTATTTTTGGCCCTGAATTTATTAATGAGTGATTTTTGAGCATTGAGTAAAGAGGTATAGCCTATCTTTTCATAAACTAACCATTTACAACACTAAACTTGCATTACAAGACAAAAAGAGTTAGATAAGTTCAGGTTCAAGCATGCGTTATCTTCTTGTCACAAGTAACTTGTTGCAGTTTCTGCTGTACAAATCATAAAGTGAAATATGTTATTTTACTTATCTGTAAATGAAACAACAGGAATGTTAACTCATGTAACCACTGACCAGTGTAACCAGAGAATTTGTCAGAAAGCCCAAATAAACCTTATATCATACAATCCTTACCCTGATGGCCTTACATAAACTCTGGAAAATACAAATTGAGATCCTGTTAAGTCCACTGTAAAGGGTAAATAGATTCAAATAAATTGAAGATTTTGAAGTGGATTACATTGTATTTATTATTTTGTTGTTGCATTTACTTAAAAGTTATGTATGGTAATGGACTTCCTGTGCCCAGTGCAGATGACCTCATCGATGTAGAGAGAGTTTGCTTTAAATTCGATGTTTTCCTGCAGATCTAGCTGGCAACGGATCAAAGACCTCTGCTGCTCCTCTGACCGGACCACTGCCTCACGAAGTCTAAGAGTGCAGAGAAAAAGAGACAACACATTATGACTTATCCTGCACGGTAACAGCTCTGCAAAATACACCCTCCTATCTTGGAAGAAAGACGGAAGAAAATGTTAACATTATTTTGATGTTTCAATTCTCTTCATCTATTGTATAAACATAAAACTCTAGCTGTAATGCTTCTCAAAAACAAATTAGAAGCCGGTGTGTCTTGGATTTACCTGTTGATGTTAGAAGGCAGCAGCTGGACCTCACCGAGAAGCTGGGCCTGTGCTGGATCATAGCATTGCTCTTTGCCTGGCCTCAGACTGCGCAAATCCAGCCGGGCATTGGCCAAACTCAGACCACGTTCACTGTCATTGATGGCCACTCGAAGATCCTCTCTGATACTCTTCTGACAAGCAACCTCAGAAAGAATCTGGAGAGAGCAGAGGTGTCATACAAGGGTCAGTCAGTTTTAGCTTTTAAAAGAAAATTAGCAGCAAAACTACATCAGCACTAAACAGATCCATAAATCATGTAAAATAAATGTTATCTAAGCACAGAGAAACACATGATAATGTTAATCACATAACTGTTGCATGCGCTTGGAAAGGACTCAGAGAGGAAAAGGCACTGATAATCACATGCTTTTACTCGTATCCCTTATAAACTTTTGGACCTAAGTTGTTTTTTATAAAAAATGATTGAGGGGTTTCCCTGCTTAAGATTCTTTGTGCTGAAAAATCAACATTACATTTGCCAGTTATTCTTTTGGATCCTGCAAGAAAACATAACATAAGAGTGTGCATTGGCTTAGTGAGGATACATCATTTTATTATAACACTTCCCAACTGATGCCTGCCTAATACATTGATGTTCTCTACCTTGGCCAGTTGATCCTCCATCTGGCTTTTGGCTGATCTGAGAGCCTGGATGTTACACTGAAAAGCTGTCGTGGTGGCCTGGTACTGCATTTGCATGTCAGCGGCCATTTGCTCCAGGAGCGACGCCACCAGCACATGTAAGCTCAGAGAGTTGGTCTTCTGCTGCTCCGCCTGGGCCATGTGGATGTCTGTGATGTTCTCCCACTGCTCTGGAGTCACTGCCAGGCTGAGGAAGTGAATATATGTACAAAAAGGACTTAAAAACTTATTTTGATACATGTTTAGATTTCCCATATCTGGGTAGAAATCTTAAAGAGAATACGTCAGACACATTTTATATTCACAGTGACTTCAAATCATTGAAAAAGTTTAGAAATCAAACATTTTTACATAGACAGTATGCCATTTTTCTTCTCTTTTTTTAAGGTTATATGTTTGGGCCATTCTTTTCATTTATTGGACAGCAGAAGAGAGACAGAAAATGTTGGGAGGAGAAGATGCGGATGACATGCAGTAAAGGGCAGAGGTCAGATTTGAACCCACGGCCACTGCAACAAGGACTCTGTACAAGGAGTGTGCAACACAATGGCTAGGATATCTGGCACACCTGTAAGTGATTTTCTAATTTTTATAGGGCAAACAAGTAAGTGGTAATTCACCTCATCATCACAGTTTGAGGGTTTTTGAAACTTTGCAGCTGGTTGATGGAATGAGCAGTCAGTAAGGCACATGAGTTGTCAATGCTCTGAGCTTCAAATTTTTCCTTCAGATTGTGCTCCAGCTGGTACTTGGCAGACCGGTTCAATCTGGAACACAGAGCAACATGTTTTTTCATGTGATTCTTCCTTCGGGTTTTAAGACAATACGTGTTTTGTAAGTCTCCATACTTTTATTGTTTCCAATAAGGAGTCTTGATAATCCTACCTTGTCTTTTCCCCTTACCTTATCTGCTCATTGATCTGCTCTAAAACACGCGTAAGAACAGCCTCCACTCCTTCAAAAACCTCCCTCTCCTTCATGAGTTCTTTGTCCACATCATCATGTCGCCTCTCAGCAGGTAGACGTTTCATTCTGAAGGCCATAGAAGAAGAAAAAAATAATTCTCATCTACTTTAAATTGAACCTTTATGGTATAAAATAATACCAATAAATTGGCTCCTCGTGAATTGTGCATCTATTAAGAACCTTAAACCTTTGTTTGTTTGTTTGTTTTCATGTTGGTTTGAGATCCTAGCTGTTTAACATTCAGCCTCACCTCTCCTCCAGGCAGAGAACAGTGACTCTTGTAAGCTCTTTGCTCACTTCCAGGGCTTTTATTCCTCTGCTCTGCAACACCATGAGATCATCAATCCCCACTATAATGTCCTCCAGTTTCAGCTCCAACTCCTTTTTTAGAAACTGGATGTCTCTGACCCGCTGATCTAAACAGCAGAAGAAAAGAAAATATCATAACAGTACATATCTGTCGTTGCAAAATGTCCCTTTATTAATACACTGTTAACACAGAGCTGTTAGTTTTGAGTAGTTCCCTCTCTTACCAAGTCGCTCAGTGTCATCACTCTGCATGCGTTTACATGCTTTGTCTGTTTCTAGGATCAGCCTAGAGCATTCTGCTCTAAAGAGTTCACAATGGCCCCGCACAGTCTCCATATTTTTCAGATTTAATCCAGAACCCTGCTGGGAAATGCTTTGCTGGACTGACATTGTTTCCTTCCTAAAACATTACAAAAACAGAAAAAAACATACTTCGGGACATGATTTACATCAAATATTGTCAACGAGCAATTAATGTACTAATATATTCTGCAACTAGATAAGAAAGCAGACAACACATCAGCATTAACCATGTGGGTTTATTTAGTGGTGTAGCTGTAAAGTCATTGCAAAAAGACAGTAGGCAAAGTTACAAAGAAGTATTGTGCTTAGTTTTGTATTGATACCTACTTACTTAGACTTAAAAGAGCAACAATGATGGTTAGACGAAATTATTTCCAATGTGTGTCTTTGTAAAAAAAAAAAGAAAAGGGGGGGAAATGAGATAACAAACGCAGCCCACTGTCTTACAGACGTTTATATTCCTGTGAAAAGACAATATAATCCTACATTAGCATCTGCAGTTAGCTACAAAAATAAACTAGCTAGTGAGTAACTACAAATTAAACTTGACATATGTTAGCTCTATTTTGCTTTGCAGACGTGTTTTCCTCGTGTTATACCGCGTTCTTAACAAAAACATTGAAGAGATAAAAACAAAACACTGCCATTGACAATACCTTTAATCGTTGGTGAATCAGGCCTATATTGGTTTTGTCGTCGTCTACCTCGATGCCGCGGGGTGCATCAAAACAAAGAGTCACCATGGCAACGGATGACACGATTCAAACGCGGAAACGGTCAGTTTATCTTTAGCCAATCAAAGGTCTCTGTTCATTCTAGAATCCGTCTGGACCACTGAGACAAGACATAACAACCCTGTCATGTTTACATCTGTTGCACTGTATCACCTTTTCTTTTAACATGTTACCGATTTCCCAGACCTCACATCTCTAACCAGTACACAAAGATAATCAGAATGTACTGTTACAGCTGAAATCAGCATTAGTCTACTTCTCTAGAGCATGCACATTAGAACAAATGCAATTATTGTTGTAGGCCCACTGCGGTTTATCATGTGGTTATTTGAAGGTATGGCAGATACAGTGCATGAAACATTTACATTTTCTGAAAAGATTTCAAAGGTAGTAAAAGAGCTGGAAGGCACTGAGCTAAGACCGTTAACAGAGACAATCTTTCAGTCTTAGCTCGACTGTCTTGTGTGAAGCACCTTGAATTACCTTGTTGCTAAAATGTGCTATATAAATACACTTAACTTGACAAACTGAACTCACACACTGCTCGTTTCAGCATTTTTATTTTCAAAATGTCTAAAAATTCAGTACATGGTAAAAAGAAGTCACGCTTAAAAAGAAAATATCTCTGGTTCTGAGAAACCAAAAACCAGCTTTACACATTAACTCTGAGTTAGCTTTTCAGGAGAAACTCAACAAAAACATTAAAAGAAACTCACATTTGAAGAAAAAAGAGAAAACAGTTCTGCTTTCAACATGCATGGCAGGTGTTAATTTAGGCAACAATGCAGATGATTTTATTTCTAGTGGGTCCATAGAGGTCTTGAAAAGCAGAAACTCAACCTGATCTTGAGTCAGAGAATCTAAGAGATCACATGGTATCAAGAGGCTTTTAACATGTCTATCTGGAGGAGTTAGAGCTGGAACGAGAGCGGTGACGTCTGCGCCCAGGAGACCTGGAGCGAGAGCGGCGGCGTACTGGGGAGCGTCTCCTGGGTGAGCGGGATCTAAAAGGACAGGAAAATATTTAAATTAGCTCCTGTGTTTGAATGTAAGAAGGAGGACGCAGACTTGATCTAAACCAAAGAACATGATCATGTGTTTAAATGATAAAGGTCCAGTGTGTGAAAATATCATGATTTTTTAAAATAAATATCTATCTATCTATAAAAATTAAAAATCTATCACTGTACCTTCTCCTCATGCGTGGTGGTGTACGACGCCACATTGGTGGGGGTGGGGGCATTCTGCGAGGGGGAGAGGGTCTACGGGGTGGAGGGCGGACTCGTTGAGGCAGCACAGCAGATGCAGTGATCTCCTGTCCATCAATCTGACCTGTCATTAACAAAGACAGCACAGAAAGCTTATCAACAAGGGTGCACAGAGTAATCTTGGCCCAGGCAGAGCAGAAAAATGCTTATGTACCTCCATCCATGTGTTTCAGAGCTTTCTCTGCCTCCTCAGCGGTTTCAAAATCCACATATGCGAAGCCCCTGGACAGGTGATTATGGAACCTGTCCATTGGCATGTCAACCATTTTGATTTTTCCATAAGTGGAAAAGATCTCCTGGATGTGTTCCTGTGCAAAAAAAAAAAAAAAAAGATAAACAATATTCTTAGCAAAGTCAAATTGAAAGAAATCTTTAGAGGAAGATTCCGGGATGTAATTTGGCAAAGGATGAAAAAGCCAAAAATGTGCACACCACAGACGTACAAAAATATATTCAATGGTTAAAAGGCACAAATACTGTTCATACAAGTTACATTGCCATGCTGTAAAAAAACTAAACTATTTCTCAGCTAACCTTGGTGACATTCCTTGTCAGACGCCCCAAGTGAACCTTCGTTGGCTTTGGACTTGGCGTTCTTTTTCTTCGCTCCTTATCGTCTCCCCTCTTCTGTGTTTTGGACCTGTAGAATCACAAACAAAACAATTATGATCCATTTCATGACTCAAACTAGTGAAGAAACATGACACCCCAGGGTATAATGATTGCGTAGCTGCATTAGATGAAGTCACTTACGCTGAGCGGGAGCGGCGGCGGTTGTCATGGCGTCTACGGCTGGGGCTGGGAGAGCCTGAGGAGCTGGAGGAGGATGATGAGCGGGAGCTTGAAGAACCAGAGCGGCTGGAACCAGATGAGCTCGATCCACTTGAGGATCCAGAGCTGGAACCAGAGCTGCTGCTTGAAGTAGAGCTAGATCTGGACCTAACGGTATGAAAAGTCAAGGTAAGAAAATGCACATTAGCCACTGATTTTGCCACTTCTAAACACAAGCGATGACTTGAAAAGGTAACTTAGAAAGCAAACCTGCTGCTGCTGCTTCCAGTAGAAGCACTGCGCCGTTTCTTTGCTTTATCTCGTCCTCTCTCCTTGTCTCCTTCCTTGGTACTAGTCTTCTCTTTGCCTCTTTCCTTTGTTTTCTCCTCCTCCTTACGCTTTGTTGGTGATGGTGCCCTAAGGTCAGGGGACAGATAACACTGTAAACTACACTAGTTTAATCTGTCAAGTTTTGGGATTACCAATTTGCACAACATGTAAAATGTTGGCTTTTGACAAATTCTACTGAACTGTACTGAGCATTTTTATAACGGGCTTACAATATAATATATAAAATACAGACAAAGTAAAACTTAATCTGAGAGAAAGCACAGCGTTTAATTTATCAGATGATGAAATAAGTAGAGTTCAGTTAGAGCAACATGTTTAATTATTTTGTTTTGTATTTATAGCTGGATTTTATTTAAGTTAGAAAACATGTATCAAATGAGCAGACTTGACAACATGATCGTTTCTCTCTCGCCGCCATTGATGTTCATTCAATTCACTCAAAACAAGGAGAAGGTATCATGACTGCTGGACAAGAACTAATCTGTTCTACACGCACACGCTGTTACAAAACACGAAACATTTATTGCTTATGATGAAATTTAATCTCGAAATGCAACTAGCTCGATTGCAATATGATAAAATACACTTACATATCCTTCGAGCGCGGCGATTGAGCTTCCACAACTCGCGGCCTGAGAAAACGTCGCGCCGTGATGACGACACAGCGGAAGTTGCGTTTTCAGCTGAGCGCCACACACACACACACACACACACACACACACACAAAACACACACACACACACACACGCACACAAAACTCATTTCTTGTTTATGTTGGTGCGGATTTAAATGCGAATTTGTATATGGCTTTATTGTAGATTTGAAAGGACGACATATTTCATGATGTCACGTGAAATGATTTGAGCCAATAGGACACTCAGACTGATTTCCCCCTGTGAGGTAAATGTGAGCTTTATTACGGTCATATGCTAGTTAGCTGCTGTTGTTGTAGTATGCTACATCTGTAAGGTGGACGTGGACCTGTGCCTGCCTCCACAATGATACAACACTGTCAGCACATCTTTATTACTGCATTTTATGATAAACTGTGGCCACAATCAATGCGAGGTTTATTTATAAATCACCATTAATGCACAGAGCAGTTTAAAGAGCTTTACAGGGTTGAAAACATAACATTAACAACATCAGGAACATTAGAAGACCTATGACATTAATCCAGATTGACGAATTAAAATAGAAAATACATTAATACAACCAAAATAAAGAACTAAGACATTAGACAAACGTTAGTATAACGTTATTCTGTTGATACTAAGTATTTATTTAATACATTTAATGTTTGATCGACATTGGTGCCTCTGCATACAAACATTGACGTATTGATATAACCTACTGTATATATATTTGTATGAAGTTATGTTTGTTATAACAAGGTAAATATTGATGTAAGGTGGTAAAAGTTCGAATTGTAGCTAATGGTTGCATCAAACATAATTTACTAAATTTTCATAATTTTGTTCATTTTAAAAATGCATATTTTATATATAAAATTTTGCACGGACTTGCTCCTCCTCCTTTGAAGGACTTTATAAAGCTGAAGTCTGCCAGTGGGATCGGCACCAGGGCCACAGCCCGAGGAGACTGTGAGGTCCCACACACACGCACTACATTCAAACTGTTCTGTCGGTCAAAGGAACTAAATATTACTCACAATAAGAGACTCACAAACATATGCAACCTTCAAAACACACCTCAAACAGTGGATAAAAGAAAACCAAGTCTGTGACCACCTTTAACCTCTATTATTGTCTTGTGTCACTTGTGCCTTTGTATTTGTATTCGTGTTTGTATTTGTATTTTATTTGTAATTTGTCTTTCTCTGTTACCTGCCTAGGGACAACAGATGGAAACTAGCACGTCTGCTATAATCTGGCATTTTTTACAGCTGTAATTGTTACAGCTGTAAATTAATATGTTCCTATGTTAATACTGTCCCTAACAAATAAATAAATAAAATCAATACAGTGCTGCATTACTCGTATTTTGAAATACTATAAGAAGAAAGCAGCGAGAGCTCCAAAATTCATGTACATTTTACTTTGAAAGTATGCAACATTCGCCAAAACGTGTTCATTTTTTGTTGTTTGTTTGTCTGTTTGTTTCTGAATCTTCCAGAGGATTGATAGAGAAGTTCACACAGTTCCTCTGGAGTGACAGACCATGGGCCGGCTGGATGAAGCAGCCAAACAAAAAGTGGTGGAGCTACGGAAGGCCGGTCTCAGTTTCCGTAAGATAAAAGCTGTGTTGGAGCTGGAGAACATCAAGGTGTCCGCGCAGGCCATCTATCTGTACCTGAGGGAGTTTCAAGGGAGGCCACCAGGGAGGGTCAGACCGCTGGAGGCTGGAAGCAGCACATCACAAGCACATGTGCATCCTCGAGCAGGTGCAGCACAAGAAAGCTGGAATAATATTCATCTCCAAAACCTTCTGCGTGAGGCATCTCAGCATGCTGGCTTTGCAGCAGCTGCAAACTTTGCCAAACAGACTCCAACAAATGCAGCCACTGGGGCAAAGCCATCAGGGTCTGGGGTGACAGGCTGCAGGTCAGAGCAACAACCAAGGGGAGATAAGGAGGAAAATGACATCCAGATTGTTAGTGTCACTTCCCTTGCACAGAACAGCCAACAAAGAAGTCCCCAGTCCACTGTAACAAGAGCAAATACAGGCCCTGTGTCTTCCACACTCACAGCTTCTGGAGCAGTCATGAGGAGAAGAGTCACTCCTTCTCCAGCCACCAATCCAATGCTGGCAGCTCGAAAGAGGCTTTTAGATAAAGCACTGTCACAGAAGATGAAGGTACATTTTTATACGTAATCCCTCTCTTGTCTTTTAAAACCTATTGCTGGATTTGTAAACTGAATTAAACAAAAGCTGTGAAATAATTTCTTTACCATGTTAAGAATGATTCAGGCTAGATCTGCTCACATTGCTTTTCAACAGTCGTTCCACCAGATGGCATCATTGTTGAGGAGAGATCACTTGAGTGTCCAAGGTCCGAGTACTGTGTCACAACCATCTGAAACATATGATCTAACCAATGACAAGGTGAGAAAAGTGCTGTTAATGCCCATTAATCATATCAGTTATTTACACACCTAAACTTAAGTTTGTGCCAACTCTTTTTAGAGGACTACCAGTTCTTGTTACCTGGCAAAAGTAAATAAGTAGTAAAGTCTTTATCAATTTTTTCAGTTTTATCAATGAAAACTATCAATGACTGGCTGCTGCTTCTTACAACCTGGCAGCTGTTCCTGTAATAAACCTTACATCAGTAGCTGGTAGTGGGCAGTATTCCAGCATTTGTTCCTAGCTCATTCTGGGAGCTTGAACAATTTAATTAACTTGTTTTTATGTAAATTAGATTGCATTTTATCTTTCATTGTTTTTTACTTTTCTAATATATTTGTGTGCTGTCCAGACTGTTATGGAAGATCAACCTGGAGGAGCCACTGCCCCCAGGCGCTTTCTCACACAAAGACCAGGTCCATCTGCCCGTACCCTTCACCCTCTTCCTCGAGTTGGCATTCGTCTTCCGAATCAATCCCCTTCACCTTTAACACCTTCTGCTCCTGGGGTTGCAGTCATTCGTCTGCAGACCCCTGGAGGTCAGGGCGCCACTCGTAGTGAGGGCAACCCGAGTCCCCATCAGGCGGTCCAAGACGCAGGAGTGAGAGGAGGTCTGCAGGATCAGATCAAAACTCTCGGTACTGAGGTGCATAGTTTGGGTCTTGCAGTGAAGATGCTGGTGGAGCAGCAGTGCCGCCTGGAGAGGGAGCAGGCGCAGCAGACACACATTCAGAAACAGATCCTCATCACTCTACAGAGCTTTACCTCCAAAATAGGACATTGTAGCACTGTTCAACAGCCACAAAACAAAACCCCATCACTCTGTGACTTGCCGGTTTCTGCATCTGCCTCCTTCAGCCAAGACACCTTTAACTTCAGTCAAGGCACGTACAGTCAGTGCAGCCAAACCCAGCCAAGCTTCAACTCTTTAGAGAGTTTAGATCATGCAGAGGCCTTTAAACTGCCTGGTCTGAGCCCGTCAAGTATGAATGGGTTTCCAACATGTAGCAACGCTGAGAACCTCCCACTAACACACACTCCTCCTATAACACAAACATATGCAGCTGCTTACCCACAGCAGTCAAACAGTCAAGCACTCATTCCAACATACACACAGTCCTATGTCTCTACATACAGCCAGCCACATTCTCAGACTTTTAGAGGTTCAGAGAATAAAGCATCTGACTTCCCAAGCAGCTGTTCAGCCAGGACTCTCCAGGACTGCAGTGTGTCCACCCAGCCGATGATGAACTCTGAGCAGTGTTCACAGGATCAACAGATCAATATAATCAAAGTGGAAGGACCGTAGATTTGAGAAAGTGTTTGAACAGTGAGGGCTTTTTTTTTTTAGAAGAGTCTATTCAGAATACTAATTGAATCAACCATGTTTTTATAAAAAATAAAAGTACACTGTAGCATTTCTTCAAATTAACTTATTTTAAAATACATTTTAATATAATACAAACAGCAATACAGTTCATAGATAGTGTCTGAAGTTTGTCTTTACTAAAGGCAACAATTACAACATTTGAAAGACGTTTTGTGTCGGCAGGTTGTCACTGTGTTAACACTAACTATGTTTTTTTTTATCTCTTATTTTTGTATCATCAACTAATTGTTTCATACCTCTGTGCTAACTGATTAAACAAAAGTAATCGTAAGTCTTTTTTTTTTGCATTTTAATCCAAGGTGGTGTGTGACAAGGTTTCCCACAAAAACATGTCACATTATACTTACAGAGTTTTAATGCTTTTATGTTTGTACAATTAAAACCATGAAATCAACATATTGGCAGCGTACAGATATGTTTGTATCTCAAGGCTTGCACTAGCTTGCAGAGTAATTCAGTGTGAGCGCTGTAGTTTAATCAACAACCAGCAGTGCGATAATCAAATCAAAGCAGTTATATCGAGTGTTTAGTTTCGCAAGCTTTGTGATTTAATGACTAAACATTGGTACAGTTCTCATTGGGTGAAAGTAGGTCTCGTCACTGGTAATGTTTGTCAGACCCTGCTTATAGCACAGAGTTCATGGGGTGTAGGGGTGAGCGTGAAGCCCGCAACCTGTGACAAATCCACTTCATGTTCTTTGAATCTTGGTGGTGGAGTAAAACGGAAGTGTTGGAGGAGGGAGGTGAAGCAAAGGAACAGCTCCAAAGTTTAAAATCTTAATAAAAATGTTTAATGAAAGGCAGCTGTAAACAGGTGTGTCTTCAACCTCGATTTAAAAGAGCTGAGAGTTTCAGCAGATCTGCAGTTTTCTGGGAGTTTGTTCCAAATATAAGGAGCATAGAAACTGAACGCTGTTTAGTTCTGACTCTGGGAACCTTTAAGTGCTTTATAAACCAGCAGCAAGATTTTGAAGTCAATTCTCTGACCGACTGGGAGCCAGTGTAAAGACCTCAGAACTGGACTGATGTGATCCATTTTCTTGGTTTTGGTGAGGACGAAGCAGCGTTCTGGATCAACTGCAGTTGTCTGACTGATTTTTTAGGTAGACCTGTAAGGACACTGTTGCAGTAATCAAGACGACTGAAGATAAAAGCATGGACAAGTTTTTCCAGGTCCTGCTGGGACATAAGTCCTCTAATTCTTGATATGTTCTTCAGGTAATAGTAGGCTGATTTTGTAATTGTCTTAATATGGCTTTTAAAATTGAGGTCTGAGTCCATCACTACGCCCAGATTTCTTGCCTGGTCTGTGGTTTTAAGTCTTATTGACTGAAGCTGATTGCTGACTCTTAGTCGATCCTCCTTTGCTCCAAAAACAACAACCTCAGTTTTGTCTTTGTTTAGCTTGAGACATTTTTTGCACATCCACTCACTGATTTGCTGTATGCATTTACCTGCGTAGTTATGATAATGTATTTTATTGTTTTTTATAATCTGAGCTAGTGGCAGCATGTAGAGGTTAAACAGAAGAGGCCCCAGGATGGAACCTTGGGGAACTCCACAAGTAATTTTTGTTTGCTAAGATGTGAAGTTACCTATAGACACGAAGAAGTCCCTGTCTTTTAAGTAGGATTCAAACCAGTTTAGTACTGTGCCAGAAACTCCCACCAAGTTTTCCAGTCGGTCGAGTAATATATTGTGGTCAACTGTGTCGAACGCAGCACTGAGATCAAGTAAAACTAAGACTGAGGTTCTGCCACTGTCTGTGTTTAAACGGATGTCATTAAACTCTTTAACCAGAGCTGTCTCAGTGCTGTGGTTTGTCTAAAACCTGACTGGAAGACATCGAAACAGTCACTCAATGTCATGAAGTTATTTAACTGTTGAAAAACAGCTTTTTCGATTATTTTGCTTAAGAAAGGAAGATTTGATATAGGCCTGTAATTGTTCATTATTGACTTGTCTATATTGTTCTTTTTTAATAGTGGCTTGATGACTGCTGTTTTCAGGGCCTGTAGGAAGACACCTGAGAGAAAAGACATGTTTACAATTTGTAACAGATCTGGAGCCATGACTTGGAAAACTTTTTTGAAAAAACCTGTTTGCAGAATACCAAGACAGCAGGAGAAGGAATTTAATTGTATAATGTCCTCCAGGTTTTTGAGGTTGATTTGATTAAATTGTGTCATGGTGCTTAAGTTGGTTTTAAATGGACACAGCACATATCCTGATCCTGATGATGAGTTAATGACAGTTTGTCTAATTTTATGTCTAACTTTATAGTGTTAACCAAAAAGGGGAGACAGTCCATTATGAAGAAACATATTTTTACAAGGAACATGTGCTGAAGCATTTTCAGTTTATTTTTGACATCCAAATTACATTTTAATAATGTAAAAAAGTGACAACAATGATTTGGAAATCGTTTTGATTTAATTTTACAATATGCAATCAATTCAAAGTTAGGTAAAGGTTATGTCAAGGCTTTTTTTTCTTGCTTATTTATTTATGAATCAGCAGGACGTGAAGCACAAATCAAGGACATAGTGGATTTTTAAATCAGCAAGGGAAATGTCTCACAATGCATCTTTTAAATCAATCTTTAGAAAACTGTGATGCCTTTTTCCTGAAAACATAAAGAGAGTCATAGGCCAGCAGAAAGCACCAGAGAGAAACTCCCAGTTGTCAAAAGTTAGACAAAAGAAAGCAATATAGTTCAGCATAAAGATGGAAAAAGCACTTTTTAGATTCACTCTGACATCTTATTGGCTTTGTAGTAGACTCAAATAAAGCTCACAAATCCCTACTTATCCCTGACTTCTCATCTGACCAGGAGTGCATTGAGTGGCATGCTTTTTAAATTAAAAAAAACATAATTTAAATGCACTAAATATTGAGATAAAAAAGACATATCAAAGCACTCAATGTGTAAATTTGTTCAATCTTTTTCAGACCCTGCTGATAGCACACAACTCGTGAGACGAAGGGGTGAGGGTGAAGCCCACAATCTGTGTCAGATCCAGTTCATCCTCTTTGACTCCAGGTGGAGGAGTGAAACAAAAGTGTTGAAAGAGGGAGGTGAAGAAAAGGAACAGCTCCATCTTAGCCAAACTCTCTCCCGCACAAACCCTTACACCTGAAATGAATGAAGAAATGCTCCATTTACAAGTGAATTTTTGTTCTCTCAGGTGTCTTGTTTAAATTCAACAATATTCAATTTTACCTGCAGAAAATGGTAGAAAAGCGTCTCTCTTTTTTAAGTTTCCATCCTCATCGAGGAAGTGGGCTGGGTTGAAAGTGTAAGGTGTTTCCCATTCGTCTTCATCCAAAAGAGCAGAAGAAAGCAGAAACAGTGCTGGAGTTCCCTAAAATATGTTGATGATATAATGGAGACATTTTAAAGGATGAACTTTTTTTCAAAATGGTACCAAAATGACTTTGGAGTCTAGAACACACATGTCACTGCACTGCAGGGGTGAGAGGTTCAGGAGATCCTTTGTCCCCACAGCCACTAGGCTTCACGGTCTGTGAAGTACTCAATCTAATTACCTTCTTGATGAAGTAGCCCTGGAAGGTGACATCTCGTGTGGTGCGATGTACAGTTGTTGGGAGAACGTTTGTTATTCTCTGTATTTCATGGATAACAGCATCAGTGTATGGAAGGTTCTTCCTGTCCTCTACCCGGATCTGACGGCTTCCTACCACCCTGTTCATCTCCTCCTGGACCTGATCTGGGAGATGAAGGTTAAGACAAAGAAGGTCAGCTTTCAGAAATGACCCACATTGGTCACATAAGATTAATTTCTATGTAACATCCATTTGAATTATGGAAGTCTGGAAACAGTTGAATGTTGCTGAACATAAGTAACAATGCAGGAACACAATAACCCTTGGCTGCCCTGGTTACTTTTCGAATGAGAGGGAGTGGGAAATTAGACAGATCAAACGTCCCCAGCTACCCATGACATAGGGGCAACAGATAAGTAATGCATTCAGCAATGTAACGGTACTCCCCTTGGCAAAAGTGGCAGCTAGTTCCCTCAGCTATGCAAAGTCAAAATAAGGAGGGGGCATTCAAGGCTCAACACCATCCTGGTAGATGAGATTTAGCAGCTTGGGTAGTTGTTGCCTTTCCTCTAGGTTACTTTTAAATTGGCGGGTGTATAGGTTAAGGTCTCAATAAAGGTCTATATATTTTACCATTTGAGAGGGTTTCTTTCGAGGGGTGGGGATGTTACTGTTGCAAGAACAAACAAGTACGTGTTGAAAATCTGGTAAATTGGCTACTTGCAGCATTGTGTTTAACAAAGCTTGTTTTCTGAATGCAGCAAGCAAGGGTAACTCGTTACATCCACTTATGTAACAGCTCCAAACCTCAACACATAACAGATGTGGTTGATACATTATTTGCTCTAAGACATGACATTTTCATCCAGAAAAAGTTTCACTAATAGTTCTCAAACATTCAGTGTTTCTTTTGTTTTAACGTACCTTGTATTTTAGGATACTTGGCCATGAGCAGTAAGCCGTATCTAACAGTGGCTGAAGTAGTGTCTGTGCCAGCAGCAAACAGGTTGAGAACAGTCTCCAGAAGGTTGTCTTCATGGTAGTGAGAATTAATATTCCCAGAGGCCTTTCAAGAATTCAAATAATGACTTATGTTATTCGGGATTACAATAAGAAGCTTTGTGTTTACTTAGGGGTTAATGGCCAAATAAGGATAATAGGTTGCTCCATATAAGGGTGTTTTAGTCATCTGGTAGTTATAACCATACTGCATTTCTCTTTCAGAGAAATGGATTGGCTCTGTCTGACTTCTTAGGCTGACGATTTACAATAAACAGTTGCCTGACTGTGCTGGACTCGCCCTGGATCCCTACCAAGTCTCTTCTTTGACACAAATTAATTCATCATCAATATCCATCACCTAATTTATATTCTAACGTAATAGTTAGGTGCCATTTTGGTGAATTTATTATATATTTTGATGCTTCTCTTTCTCACTTTCAGTTTTTCATTTCCATCTCATTGAAATCGCTTTCCTTTCAATACCCAGAGTTCTGCGATCTGTCTCAAAAAGTTAGAAAAGATCAAACACAATACATGGTGATAAGAGCCAGCTGAAGGTGTTTCTTTACAATAACTACGTCTACACAATCTTAAAACACGTATATTTCTTACCTCATGCTGAATTTTGCGGGCCAGAAAGGAATCCACTAAACCTCTGCACATGTGCGGATTAAGGCTTTCCTGTAAACCCTGGATCAACTCTTTTATGCATCTTCTATTAGTTGACGAACTCTCCAGAAGTTGCTTTCGCACTCCAAGCCAACCAAAAAGCCTTGGAAAGAAGTTATATAACTGTCGGAAAAAAAAAAAGTGTGTGAAATCAAAAATGATGCATTATGCAGAAATGATATGGGCCATATCATTTCTGTAATCACAATCTCTCAACTACTTTCTTGTTCATTCTTAGGCCATGGTTTTCCCTTTTTGATATATGTTGGCTAAAATGTCCTTTAAGTCAACACCAATGAACCCTCCAGCTGTGAAGTGAAGTTCTCACCAGGAGGCACTTTCCATCACATGCTCTGTTTCCTGTGGCGTAATGAGAAAGCCTATCCTCAGTCGCACTATGAACAGTATACCTGAATTGAAGCAGATCCCATGAGTTGAGTGTTCTTAAGAGCTCGCTCCACCATAGATATAAACAGTGGGTCATCGTATTCAAATCTGTTTCCATAGACAATAGAAGAGATGATGTTGGAGACAGCGTTGTGTATTGGCTGCGCTGTATCAAAAGCTTTACCTAAAAAAAGAAAAAACAACTTTGTTATCTTTTTGGGCTGTGTTGCAATGAGTAATGATAGTTATCACAGCATGTTCACTGTGGATTTTGTATTCATGACATTGTGTCAATAAAAATAAGTGGTGTAACAGCTGGATGGACAAGAGGTCATTTTTGATTACCATTTTTTTCCATGAATGTCTCAATCAGACTTTTGCACTCTTCAATGATTTTCTCTTCCAATGCTTTTTTATCTTTCATGTTAGCCATCGCAAAGTTCCTCATTTCTTTCCAGTAATCTCCGTTTGCAAATCCAATACCTGTAGATGACAAAGGTTAAGGTTTTTCCTTTAAATATAAAACCAAAACAGAGGTGTATATACATTTAGATAAAGATATAGACATGCCCTTGTATGTATTTACATATGACATATTTGTGTAGTTCTCTGTGTAGTTTCAAAAAAACCTTAAAATGCAAATTAATTAACGATTACAACATGAAATGATCAATACTTCAAAAATACTTTAGAGTTTATCTGCTTTTTGTTTTTGTTTTATTTTGTTGGATTCCTTATGTTCTGACCTATATGAAGGATTTTACAGGATAGGCAGAAATAAGCCTTGTGCTTCAGCCTATTCCTTTTTTGGTCATTGATTGTTTGAATGTTATTGTGTGAAATGGACAAGTGTAAACATGTAAAGGTTTTTTGTTTCTATTTCTGTAAGTGGACTATTTGCACAAATATTTTTGACTCTAGTTATTCTTTAATGTATGACCAAAATAAAAACATTCATTCATTCATTATTTGAAACATAAGATCAAAGATGTACACTCTTAAAAAGGATTAAAAATGGATTGAAAAACATAAACAACACTAAAACTTTTTGATCCTTACTTCGTGTTAATTTCATGTCAATGACAATAGGGGAAACTTCTCGCTCTGAAAATGCATTGTTGTTCACCAGAGCCTGCTTGATTGTCTTGTGTCCTGCATACACTACCATTTTTTGAGGCCCAAAATGGAAAGTGAATACCGGTCCATATTTCTTGTACAGCTGAAAAAGTTCATAAAAAAGAATAATACATTATCATTTACACAGACTTAAATATCAAAACTCCATTTCTCCTGATATTTGATTTCACATCAGTCATACTGCCTCATACACATTTAGTGGAAATTATTGAACTCTTCATCTTTTAGTTACCTGATACAGCGTTGTGTGGGGTGATTTAGAATCCAGCAGCAGCAAATTGCCAAACAGAGGCAGTGGCCAGGGGCCCGGAGGCGCCTTTCTTTGAAAGTCAAAGCTGGAGAATACCAGATACAAAACCAGTAGGATCCCAAAAGTGCCCAGTAATGTTGTTGTACTGGGGAACTGAAGAAAAATGGTTTCCATTTCAGCAGGACTGTCACAATTTAGACTGAAAAGAAGAAAAAGAAGATAATAAATAAAAGTTTGTTTTTGAAAGACTCTGTGTATTCCTCTGATGCTTTAGTGCACTAGTGCAATAGTTATTTGGTTAATGTTTTATCAGTTTCAAGAACATTGTGTCCCTTCTTTTCATTCGCAGTAAATAAGTGACGATCATCAGATACACAGATGTTCCCTGTCAAAATGAACAACAAATGAACCATTGTATTTCTGCCTAACCTATAGTGAGGATATAATAATAATAATAATAACTTTATTTATATAGCACCTTTTAAAAACACAGGTTTACAAAGTGCTTTGACAAACAGCAAGAACAAAGCAAACTAAACCAAACACAGAAAAACATTAACAACAGTAAGAATATAACAGATGCAAAATACCAAAAATAATTAAAAACAATTCAACAGAAAAGAACCCAAAGTGCACGATACACAACCAGACATATATAACCCAACCATCATAAGAACCATCATAAGAACCCAGGAACACAAGAACCCAACAACATGAGCTGAGACCAAGAGGACCAAAGATTTAAAAAGATGTCAGAAACTAAGAGATAAAAGCAAATAAAAAGCAATGAGAAGGTAAGCGCAGTAAAAGAAATAAAAACAAGTGATTAAAGGATCAAAAAACCCAAAACTATAATATTAATAAAAATAAAAATTAACTATAAATACGAAACATAAATAGACAAAGTAAGTAAGATAAGAAATTACCAAGTTAAAACACAAGAGGAGATTAAGATATGAGCATAAATACGAGATAAGACCATAAATAAAAGACAGTAAGAAGTAGAAGAAGATAAAAATAGTAAAACCAGTAAGAGAAGACATTAAGAAGACAACATCACATAAAAGCAAGTCTGTAAAAGTATGTTTTAAGAAGGGATTTAAAAGAATTGAGGGAATCTGCAAGTCTTATCTCCTCAGGGAGGTCGTTCCAAAGTCGAGGGGCCCTGACTGAAAAGGCCCGGTCACCTTTAGTTTTAAGTCTCGACTTTGGAACGACCAGGAGGCTCCCACCCGAGGATCTAAGACTGCGGGCTGGCTCATATGGTGTCAGTAACTCTGTTATATAGCTTGGAGCCAGCCCCGTCCGTGCTTTAAAAGTAATGAGTAAAATCTTTACTGGCTGGAGGCGAGACAGTGACTTATTTGTGATTCCGGAAAAGAGGGAGTTACAGTAGTCAAGTCGGGAGAAGATGAGGGCGTGGATGATCTTTTCAAGGTCTCGTTGGGTTAGGATTGTTTTAATTTTGGAGATGGTGCGTAGATGGAAGAAGCTTGATCGGACAACTGTTTTGATATGGGATTCAAAGGTGAGATTGCAATCGAATGTTACTCCTAGATTTCTGGCGGTGGGTTGGACATTGGTGAATAAGGGACCGAGGCTGCTCTTTGAGATATGAGTGGTGTTTAGCGGGTTGAATACTATGATTTCAGATTTAGAATTGTTCAGTTGGAGAAAGTTTTGCGACATCCAGCAGTTGATATCGTTTAGGCAGTTTCTGACAGCAGCTAGGCTCCTAGGGTCCTCAGGTCTCAAAGGAAGGTATATCTGTGTGTCGTCTGCGTAGCAGTGAAAGGAGACATTGTGGCGTTCAATTATTTGGCCAAGAGGCAGCATATAAATGGAGAATAAAATGGGACCTAAAACCGAACCTTGCGGTACACCACAGGTAATGTTAGAGGTAGAGGAGGAGTAGTTACCGATGGTGACCGCGAAGGTTCTTTCTAAAAGATAAGAGTAAAACCAGCTAAGTGCAGTATCCTTTAAACCAACCCAATGTCTGAGACGATCAGTTAAAATTGTGTGATCAACAGTATCAAAAGCTGCGCTAAGATCTAAAAGAATTAAAATTGTGCCCTCCCCTCTATCTGTTGCTAAAAGAAGGTCATTGGTTACCTTGAGGAGGGCAGTCTCTGTGCTGTGACAAGCTCTAAAACCGGATTGGAATTTCTCAAAGAGGTTATTTTCAGTCATAAAAGATAAAAGTTGTGTTGAAACCACCTTTTCTAAAACTTTTGATAAAAATGGAAGTTTTGAGATTGGTCTAAAATTGTTAAAATCAGTGGGATCAAGGTTGGGTTTCTTTAAAAGTGGTTGGACCACAGCATGTTTAAAAGCAGAGGGGACTACACCTTCCGCCAAGGAACTATTAATAATGGATAAAATACTGGGTCCAACTGTGTTAAAAACCTCTTTGAGAAATGTTGTGGGAATAAAATCAAGGCTGCACGTAGCTGATTTCATATGGGTTAAAATTTCAGATAAAAAGGTCAAGGACACCGGCTCAAAACTGCTAAAATAACTGTTAAGTTCCCTGCTGGTGTCTAAAATACGGTCTGGGGGGATGATTTGTTGCCTAATGTCCTTGACTTTATTAGTAAAATAAGTTAAAAACTTCTCACATAGATCCTGAGAAGGATCAGTAAAATAGGAAGGGGAGGGGGTGGTGATTGATTCTAAAACCTTAAATAAAATTCTGGGGTTAGAATGATTGACTAAAATCAGATTAGAATAAAATGCTGCTCTTGTGTCTTTAACTTCCCTTTGGTATTGTATCATTGAATCTCTCCATATTTCATAAAATACATGTAAGCCTGTTTTTTTTCCATTTTCGTTCTTTCCTTCTGCGGTCTCTTAACACAGAACAAGATGTGCCTAAGATCACATGTCGAGTCTGCATGAGAAACAGGTCAGACCTCCCACCCCTTGCTCAAAGTTCTATTCCCTGTTGGTGCATCACAGAATAAATCACTTATGAAGCATATTTCTTCAGGAAAGTGACAAAGGGGATACCTGCTCACATTACTGATTCAACAGAGAGCCAGACAGCTAGTTAAGGTGGGCTTTATCACTGCAACAGAAAGGTCAAAAAGTAACTGAGTTAATGTCACTGGACTGTGTCATCTTTAGGTGACCTTTGGGCTCTTGCTTAGTTACTGCATACCTTTTACCTACAAATGTATATTTCCCCATAACAAAACAGAAAATAAGAGAGACACAATGTTTGGTAATGAACAGTCACAGTAGTTTATTTTAGTCCTTTATTTTGAAATCCAAAGTTTATTTTGAGATACTATACACATTTTTAAATTTCATTTCATCAACAATGTGCTCCTTGTATATTAGAATCTAATGTTTTTGTATTGTTAGGACAGGCATCAACACATGTTAGTTTTTCATACATTCATACATGATTAATATAGTGTTTTTTTAGCTGTACAATTTTATTTCAATTTGTCAGGATATGTGTGACAAGTTAATTTGCAAAGAAGTTGTGTCTTGTGGGCACAATGCTGTGTTTATAACGTCTTTGCTGTAATGATTGCGGTTATCTCATCACGTGATAACAGACTTTAGAAGTCTGTCAGACCCTGCTGATAGCACATCGTTTATGAGGTGATGGACTCAGGGTTATGCCCACATTCTGTGTCAGATTCAGTTCATCCTCTTTAACTCCAGGTGGAGGAGTGAAGCTAAAGTGTTGGAGGAGGGAGGTGAAGAAGAGGAAGAGCTCCATCCTAGCCAAGCTTTCTCCCGCACAAGCCCTTGCTCTTGAAATCAAACAAGAAACGTTGCATCGTTAAGGAAATTTGAGCCCCTCAAATGTCTCGGTAATATATTCAACAAAATTACCTGCGGAAAACGGTATAAAAGCGTCTCTCTTTTTAAAATGTCCGTCCTCATCTAAGAAGTGGGCTGGGTTGAAAGTGTAAGGTGTTTCTCATTCGTCTTCATCCCGAAGAGCAGATGACAGCAGCAGCAGTGCTGTAGTTCCCTAAATCATGTTGGGAGATCATTCCACATTTAATATTGTACAAGGTTTTCATACAACCAGAATGACTTTGGAGTGCATGCACAGATTTTAATTAGTACTGTATTGACAAAAAATATGATTCATGAAGGCCAATGCATCAACTGCTGCACATTTTTTAGCATCGCAGTTTCACAAGATAGTAATCTAAAACAATACCTGGAGAAAAAACACGGGTAGTTATTCTCATCACACAATATAGTATGAAGACTACATTATTTTCTTAAAGATAGGTACTTTCTATCTTTAAATGTTTCAATGAAAGTTAACCCTGTGACAACCCAAACAAAGCCACGTAACCAAAACTCAGTCAAAAGTGTAACGAGAACTTGGGTGGTCTTAATCTTCACTTTGATGTTTGTAGCTGGCGCTGTTTAAGTTTAATAGGTTGCCATAGCAACACATGACCGGAATGCTAGGCTACGTGCAGCAGCGAGAGAGAGAGAGAGAAATCGCGGGTTCTGCCGAGAACTTTATTTTCCCTTCCTTCTTCTTTTCTAACCGTTGGTCAGCAGGCGAACACGGTAAATATTGTTTTACATTGTAATGTTTAATTTACCTTTTGACACATGAAGTGATTTTAGCTGAAGGCTAAAAACTGTCTTGACTGTTCTAGTTTTCACAGTGTCTCCATGATGTATCTTCTGTGAAGATTAAAGCTTGTTGTGGACATCAGTCTGAATCGTGGACTTTTTACTGACCGGCAGTTATAATGTTATAAGAATTCTTATTATTCTGAACAGTTTTCTTACTTTCTTGATGAAGTAGTCCTGGAAGGTAACATCTCGTGTGGTGCGATGTAGAATCATCGGGATAGTGATGGACATCCTCTGTATTTCATGGATAACAGCGTCAGTGTATGGAAGGTTCTTCCTGTCCTCTACCCAGACCTGACGGCTTCCTACCACCCTGTTCATCTCTTCCTGAACTCGTTCTTGGAGATGAAACACGAGCACAATCTCATTGGCTTTGTTATACAGTAACGGAGAAAGGGCTGGTTTAAAACAGTTAAGTCCAAACACAGCCATACAGAGTGCTTTAAGGGCAAGTTTTATCAGTATTAAAGGAACATTGATAACACTGATTTTCTTTATGAGTCATTGATGAGTGTTTTGGGCAGCGCTTCAGAAAAAATAGTTTCCAGGAGGGATCCCATGGCATTCACTTGATCCACAGGCCCAAATCAAGCAAAGCTAAAGCTAAAGTGCTCAAAACTGCAGTTCCTGAAATATCCACTCAAGGCTTGAAATTCTCGAGAACGCCCCGTTAGAATCTTTACATTAAATGTTAGCATCCCACTCTGACAATTATGGCGGAGGAGATGGCAACTGCATGAAAACATGACTTTCTGGTGCCTGAACTTAAGCTTTTTTCTGTTGAGTCAAATTCTATTCACTTATTAATTGAGATATTGTTTCATACATCCAAGTTATTGTGTTCCTTCCCTTGTATTGTTGGATTCTTGGCCATGAGCAGTAAGCCATATCTAATACTGGATGATGTAGTGTCTGTTCCAGTGGAAAACAGGTTACTAACAGTCACCAGCAGGTTGTCATCATGGTAGTGAGAATTCATATTCCCAGATTCCTTACAAGCAATAAAGATAAAAATAATATGCTTATCATAAAAACAATCACTTTTGAAATGGCTAGTCAGCTTATAAGACGCATGGGTTTTAACTTCATCTGTGGCTAATATAGACAGGCACATATGTAGCCCTTGTCACTTACAAGCACTTCCTTGTTGCCGTGGGTGATTCACTCCCACAAGTGTAATACCTCCTTGTTTATATAATTACCTCAAATCCAACAGTTAAAGTCTCTGACAGATAATACTTGTGAAGGACTTTTCCTTATTTGATGCACGGTTGAAACATGACACAGCTTTGGGATGCACAGTTTGTTGTCACACACTGAAGTGAACATTCTCCATTGGCAGACAATGTTGGAGATAAAGTCTAAAAATACAGAAATTTGTTAGCAAAGGGCGTGACTGACAGTGTGATAAGTGTATATCATATGTTAATGTGTTGATGTGTATGGTGAGTGGGGGTGGGGGGGGAATGAAAACATTTTCATCTGCCAAAAGGTGGCCCAGTAAGAACCCTTGCATGTACACTTGTTCTGGTTAACTGTTTTTTCTTTGGCCAAGCTTCATTCAAAGCTTCTTTGTAAGGCATCCAGGTCTCCTAAAGCTTTTCTCTGATTTCTATCACAACACATGACCATACAGGCATACAGATATGTATGTCTGAACATGTAAAGGCCGTACAGTGTTCTTGTCTGTAATAAAAAAAACGTTGCATAATCGAATGGGACTTAAAAATGCATGCGATTGTTTGGCTCATCAGCACTGGGTACAAAGTCACTTTGAAATGTTAGTCTTTAGTATTTAATGCACAGTATCCATGCACTGCCTGATTTGTGCAGATTATGAAGTTTGAGAACCATCAAAAATGGTAACCACCTTGATTTTTTCTATAACCCTGTTCACTTTAACAAAATACTTTTTCTGTCTTACAATTTGCCATTTCAAGTTAGCCCAGAAAACAGATAATGATTGGGAGATGGGTTTAGCTTTGTAACATAGGAACCTTCAGTAAAACCAGCATTAGTAGTAACCAATTTTATCAATACAATTTAAGAAGGTCAATCTTTTCTTGTGTACCTCAAGCTGGATCTTGCGGGCCAGAAAGGAATCCACTACCCCTGCACATCCCTGGATTAAGGGTGTCCTGTAAATCCTTGATTAATGTTTTCATATTGCTCAGATTGACAAACGCACTCTGCACAAGTTGCTTTCGCACTCCCAGCCAGCTGAACAGTCTTGGAAAGAAGTTGTATAACTGTTGGAAAAATAACCACATTTAACCATCAAATGTATATCAGGTTTATAACTGGTGATTGATTTGGCACTTATCACTGTGACCTGTATGAGAGGGTTGGTTGGCCTTCTCTTGAAGAGAGGCGCAAAAAAAACACTGGATTTTAAATATTTTTAAGGCTCTTATTGGTAAACTTCCACCTTACATTACAGACCTGTTGGAATGGAATACAGGTACCTACATGACCCGTTCGTCTGATTGGCTTTTTTTAAAGTCCCTCGAGCTTTTACTGAACTCGGTAAATCAGCATTTTCTTTTGATGCCCCAAACTCTTGGAACGCCCTCCAGCAAACTCTAAGGATGAAATATCTGCAGCTTTATTTCATTCTATCAAAATCTCATACCTTTTCTCTGTTTACTCCTTCTCCCTGCACTTCCCCTTATGGCAGACAATAGCATTCATTTTTATTTACACCAATTAACCTGACCCAAATGAGGTTGAACTGTAGTAAATTGTCCTGCTATCAGGTTAAATTGCTCACAAACTGTATCTTACCTGCTAGCAGGACAATTAAAGCTGCCCATAAAATTGCCCGGCTCTATTCTGCCCCATTCTATAATCTTTAGTCTGTTTATGACTCCTGCTCTCATGTACACTGTGTACTGTACCTGCATTGAAGGACAACCCAATAGTTTTGAGTTTTGAGTAGCTCTCTCCACCATGGATGTGAAAATCGGGTCATCATATTCAAATCTGTTTCCATACACAATAGAGCAGATGATGTTGGAGACAGAATTGTTTACTGGCTGGGCTGGGTCAAAGCCTTTACCTGAGAAATAAATCAATCATTGCACTCATCTCAACTGATGTATCACTGTTAAGATAAATGTGATTTTTCTCGAATAAGTACACATTCATTTACATATATAATGATTGAAGCAAAAAAAACTATAACCTATATCAATCAGGCGTTGACTCTCCTTTCCACGAGGCTCCATTGGCGAATAAAATTCCTGAAAATGACCACATTTTTTTTCGGGACTTCTTTTTTAGTAGCAACCAACAAGAATATTAAAACATGAACAGACACATACATTTTTTATTTATTTTTTACCCCTCACCATGTGTTAATTTAAGATCTTGTATAATTTGAGGAACCTCTGTCTCTGAAAATGCATCATGGTGGACAAGAGCCTGCTTGATCGTCTTGTGCCCCGCAAACACCACCACAAGTGGAATGTAAATACTGGTCCATACTTCTTTGAAAGCTGATATAAAAGCCATAACAAAAAAAAAGAAAAATGTATAAAAAGTCAGACCAACTTTTACGTAAAATATGCTGAATCAATAACAAATTATCACCTCATTCAGTGTTCAGATTTATGATCCAGTAGCAACCAATTGCCTATTACAGGCAGTGGCCAGGGCCCCAGAGGCTCCTTAATGTGACGATTGGCAAAACTGGAAAATAACACGTAAAAGACAAGCAGGACTCCAACAGTGCACAACACAGTGATTGTATCTGGGGACTGCAGAAAAAGGCTTTCCATTACAGCTACACTTCAGTGTTAAAATCAAATGAATCTAAAAAAGTCAGGCAGTACTGGTGTTTCCAATTCCAATGTGCAGCGTGAGTATTAGCATGAGCTATCACATTCAGCTAATCTATTTCCGTCCAGTTTGAAGGTGTGAAACAACAGAACTGAAGGAGGGAGAAGGGTTCCTATTTAACTGTGTCTCTGAGACGCACCCTGCAACCTGCAATAGATATAAGTCAAGTAATGTACTTTTACAACTGCTTTTCATAATGAACTGCAAAAAAAAGTATATAGCCTTACTCAGCAATGATTGACATCAGTATAAAATACCCAGTTGTTTTCAATCCCTAAAAGAATGCTGCCTCCACTTTACACCCAGGCTCATCTAATCCTTATTCCAGGTCCAAGAAGAAGTACTTCTGGTATATATTTTCTTTTGGTCCAACAGGAAACCAAAAGAAGAGTTTCCTTTTTTCATCCATGCATTCATTCTGTTTCTCCCTGTTACCAATGATTTAGTGAGCAAGTATTCAACTAGAAAGGGCCCTGTTAATATTTTACCAATTGTTAGAGTTTAATTACCCACAGATTGACCATGCCAAGTGACCAATTGACCAAGTGTATTTTAAATCTGTAGTTGTCAAATCTAATCTCAAAGTAATCATGGTTTGAGTTTTGTAGTCCATCACTATCATTTTGAATTGATGCAACCATTGCTACACCTCTTAATGCTGTCTTCCACAACTTTCCAAATTCAAAGGCTTTCTCATATCACTGATATGCTGATGATATTCAGCTGTATGTCATATAAGCCTTATGGCACTAACAGCCTATGCTCTGTAGGTTGTTAATGATTTTGTGAGCTCATGTCCTCAACATGAGGACTATAGCACTCCTGACTTGAATAACGTAAGCATTTTGTTAGTACTCTAAAATGACCCTGACGTTCAGGACAGGGTGTCTCTCCTCTGCTACTCATTCTTGATGAGCTTAATCATTTCTACAGAATTGGCTAATTTAACCTCTGCGACTCAAATAAATGCCAATCCAATAACTAACTGGCTAAATGAATACAATCAAAAGCTTCATTTTAATTAACCATAATTCTACAATCTTGTCCAGCCATACCACTACTTATGTGAGCCCAAAATGTGTGAAGACCTGTCGATACTTTAAGAGCTGCAATCTCATCCATCTTGCATTATTTAAAGAATGACACAATATGACATTTTTTGTATTCCCATTTGTCCGTCCCTTGTGCATGAACAAGACATGACTCTTACTTCTTCTGATCAGCCTGCAGCAAATCGTAAAACATGGCCTTGATCCCAGACACTCCTATCTTTGATAACAAATGTTAGAGAAATACAAGTAGGATCCCAACAGTCCCTTGGTGGTACTGGGGGGTGCGGCTGAGAAGTGTGTTTCCTTATTATAGCTACATTTTCAATTGTCAAAATAACGATAACAAAGTCAATACAATAATTATGTCATTCTTCTTAGTGCATGTGTTGTAAGTCGTTTAAGGATTAAGTCAGGTGAACGAGTGAAAAAAACACTGATTGCCCTTTGTTACGGTTGTCTTTATTTCTGTGTGTTAAGGTTTTGGTTCATGTGAAAGACATTTTTTTAACACAACAAAGAAAAGATTTCCATTCCATAGCTGTTTACATGGGGGATAAAGAAACACATGATCAAACAAAGTAATAGCCTGCCAAGCAAGTTAATAAATGATGAAATGTTCAGTCCGTGAGGGAAAGTTAAACAATACAGATTTATGTCACATGCCGATCCGTCTCAATATGTGTAGCTTTCCAAAAAACATAAAAATAAAGGAAAAATATGATAATCAAAACACAGCCAAGTTATGATTCTATACTGTGATTGTATTGATGCCTGTGTAAGTCTACTTTTAAGCACCTTTTTTACTTCCAAAGGCCCCGCCATAACCCTTCTACGTTCATCCATTAGATGCCCTCAGATCCTCTGCAGCCAGTTTGGGATATATTAACCTTTTAAACAGGCTTTGCTATTGGTCGCAAAAACCATTGAAATGTAAAAGTCGAAAAGGTTACTGTTTGAAATATGGGATTGTTCTCAGACGAGTATACTCACCTCCGTTATTGATCACACAGAGGCTTTACTTCTCAGCTTTGACTGAAGCCTCACGTTGCCTCATCCTCATGAGAAACCTCAGTCACAGCCAGCATCACTTTAAAAAACAAAGATGTCAACCTTGTTTATTTTATCTCCAAATTGTAGTGAACTGACTGAGACTGTAAAAAATTATAATTCAATGTTTCAGTTTCGACCCACTGAAATTGAATTGAATCAACTGCATACATTAACTATGACCAACAATCCAAAAGCTAATTGTGTGTGTGGTCGCGCGTGTGAAAAGTAATATAATAATAATAATAATATAATAATATTACAATATGAAGAATATGGATAATATAGACTATAATAAAGAGTAAGGTGACAACTGGTGGTGACAAGATGACTGACCCTTCATATAATATCAGTTGTGTTCATTTTTCTGCTAACCCAGTCAATCAAATCTAGTAGTTAATACTTGGAGTATCTAAACAGAATCAATTGCAATATTGGACAAATTCTTAGGATATAATTTTTTGCCAGTGAAAATTATAAAGTATTATACTTTTATATTCAAAGATAATTTATTAAATATGATCCATCGAATCAAAGTTTGAATGAGAACAAGGGTCGTGTCATCCGCAAACATTATTGGAGAAAGAACATGCGACTTATTAAACAAATTATTAATATAGATAAGAAATAATGCAATCCTTAACAGAAACAAACTGGCTTCTGTTGAGAAGATCATTTTTTACCCATTTGTGAGTAACATCATGAAAACCATGTTAAAAATGGTTTTCAATAGCACATGTAAATCAACTGTATCCAAAAGCTTTTGAAAAGTGGAAATAGATACTGAAAGTAAATTTATGATCGTCAAGTGCAAATGTACAGTAGTTTCGTCAATGAGATGAAACAAAGCCATATAGGCGGAATGATTTTTCCTTAAGCCTTGTTGGTAAGGAATAGAATTTGAATCAAGCTGAAAGAGAATTATTTGAGATGAGAAGAAACGTTTGAAAATGCTTGTTTTTTAAAAGGGGGTTGGATGGATAATATTTAATGTGTTTCAGGTAGTCTAGGAATCTAACTGCTGATTGGCATTCAAGATATAGCCAATCAGCATTGCGATAAATGATAAGATAACACATTTTTAGAATCCCTCTCTGCTGACAGCACAAAGCTGATGAGGTATAGGGTTGACAATGAAGCCAACACCTGGACTCAGATCCAGTTCGTCCTCTGTAACTCCAGGTGGAGGAGTAAGGCGGAATCGCTGGAGGAGGGAAGTAAAGAAAAGGAAGAGCTCCATTTTAGCCAAACCTTCTCCAAGACACATCCTGCGACCTAAAGACAGAAGAGATTTGCAAGGATTCAAACTGGATCATGCTGTGTCAAATATCTCTGTGAACCCTAAACAGAAAATCTTACCTGCAGAAAATGGCATGAAGGCATCAGGCTTGAAGAATTTACCCTCCTCATCCAGAAAGTGGGAAGGGTTGAAAGTATAGGGGCTCTCCCATTCACTCTCATCATATAGAACAGATGTAAGCAGAGGAAACACAATAGTCCCCTGTAGGCAAAAGCAGAGCCACCATATAAAATCTCAAGAGATGTTTCAAGAGATGACAAACATTTCCAATGCTCAGATGTGTGCATCTAACCTCTTTGATAAAGTATCCCTGGTTTTGTGAGGTAAACTCATGGGGACAATGCTGGCCAGTCTTTGTGTCTCGTGGATGACAGTGTCGATGTATGGCATGTGTTTCCGGTCATCTACCCGCACCTCCCGGCTTCCCAACACCCTGTCCAGCTCCTCATGGACCTTCTCTGAACACACACACACAAATAAAAAAGCTATTGGCTCTGTGAAGATCAACTTTTGCAGAGTTGTGTTCAACTAAATAGGAGTAAACAGGTAAACATGTTAAAAATGACAATTCAAAGATTACAATGCTGACATGTACCATATAAATAAAACTGCCTCAACTGGCCTTGCATAGTTTACTTGGGTGCTTGCAGTACGACACAAGGATGCAACAGAGCTCTCAATATTAAAAAACAACTCCAGGTTGTGTCATCATAGATGGAACTGTAGCCAAGCTGGGTGTGCTCACTTAGTGAAATCTGACAGGTATCTGACTCCTTGTGATCTGACTAATGATAGCTGATTATTGTTATGTAATCAAGCCGTTAGAACTATATATTATGTGTATCAAAGTACATACATTATATTTGTTCATGACTGTCAAGTATTCCAAAGCATTTAAAGGTCAAATCAAACATTCAAAACCACCTTGTATGTGTGGATATTTGACCATGAGCAGCAAACCCCATCTCAGTGTTGTTGCTGTGGTATCAGTTCCAGCTGCAAACAGGTTGCTGACAGTAAATATCAAGTTTGTCTCGTTGTAGTGAGAGTCCTTTACAATCGAGTCCTAAGAGAAAAAAGGAGAAATATCATTAAAAAAAGCTCTGCTGCTCTTTTAGTAAGATGGAACAGAGGTTGACTTACCTCTTCTTTCTGCTTTCGAATTAGAAAACAGTCCAGAAGCCCCCTGCATATTTGAGGGTTGAGTGTTTCTTTAATGCTCTTGATCAACTCTTTAATGTCTTGGACAGTATCCTCAAGGTTTCTTAATATCTGCTGCCTGTTTTTGACCCAGCTGAGCAGCCTTGGAAACATGTTGTAAAGCTGTAATGCAACAACAACAAAAAAGAACCATCAACAAACATGTTTCTAGATTTGAAATAACAAGTGTTATAGATAGGATTACATGCAAGCTGTAACAGCCCAATCTGAGGTGGGCCTGTGGGCTAAACAATAACCAAAACACTGACCCAACAAAATCACATTAAACACCTTCAAACACTTACATGGTAATAATTATTAGACAAACAAAATAAAAAGAACACAACCCAAACTCCCTGATTTTTTCTTATAAATCAAGCTTACATGGATCAAATTTCTCAGCTACATTTGCTTACTTCAGTTACAATGATACAAAATAGTAAATACAAAAATCACCTGAACTGTTGGAGAACCAGTTAGAGATATGGTCTCGTTTGCTCTTTTCACCAAGTTTTGGAATCGCTGGTCATCATATTCAAATCTGCTTCCATACACAATAGAGGAGATGATATTGGATGTAGCATAATTCATCGGACGTGAAGTATCAAAGGGTTTTCCTGTATAATTGCTGTAATTACTGTTAAAGCAAGTACTGTTTTACTCAGACATCACTGAAAAATAGTTTTCCTTCATAATAATAATAGGTTTAATATCATTATTATTAAACTGATGTTATTATGATGAAGTCCATACCTTTATATTCATCAAACAGTTGGATCAGATGCTGGCATTCCTCCAATATTTTTTCCTCAGCTAATCTTTTGCCCATCCCGAAGTCTCTCAGGGTGGTCAGGGAAAAACGTCTCAACTCTTTCCATGATTCTCCATTTGCAAAAAGAATTCCTATTTAACATGAAAAGACATATGAGAAATTAATCTACAAAAAACAAACTACAAATTACAAATGAACACAGGAACTGATCATCAAACTGTGTCACTTCCCATTAAATTCAATGTTATTTGTTATTTTGGTTAATAAATGTGTGCTTTTTTCTTGCCTTTTAGTGGTGTTTACTTTTTTTCACAGCTGTCTTTGCAAGCATTTGGTTTGGTGCTATAATGAAAACATGCTGCATATAAAACATTTGCAGTTAGAACATACCATGGCCATGGTTTAAATCATATGATAAAGGGGAGATGTCTCGGTCTCCAAACTCCTCTGAGTAGTTGACCAGAGCCTCTTTGATTGTCTTGAACCCTGCCAAGACGACCACTTTAGTGGTTCCAAAGTAAACTTTGAATACAGGTCCATATTTCTTTGCAAACTGGACAATAGAAAAATAATTAAACATGTAAGAAATAATGTAAGAACATTTATATTCATAAATGCA